GCATGCAACTGAATATGTCCAACACCGTGTGGCTCTTATTGGGTAATTTTACACGGAAGAACTTTAGTGTTCCGATAAATCCTTGGGAGAATTGTATGATGATATATTGCAACCCCGGGGCGGGGGAGGAGTCATCTTGACCTGTGGAAGTTACTTGTATCTAGTTCTCACAGAGATGGAGATTCTTGTTATAATTTCATGGGTTCCTCTTCGAAGAGATTGGTAGATACTACCTAGGAGGCGTTGTCTTTGGTTCAGATTTACCTTCATTGAGCAGAAACACGTTTCATCTTGTGTGAAGTAGTCTTGCCATATTCGTCTAGTTGCCTGTTCTTGCTGCAACTCAATTGTGCCCCATCATATGATATTCCAGAAGCCATTGACATTCTACAAGGCATAGATAGTTCAATCAGAGTTCCATATTATTTTTGCATCCAGCCCATAGTGTTAAGAACTTGAAGCTAATGGTGGAAGTGAAGGGTATAAAGTATGGGAAAAGAGGACAAGTATAAAGTGTGTGCTTTTAATTGCTAAGGTTATCGTGCATGACAGAATCCACATAACACCAGTACAGATTTGTATGGAACACCACAGTTATTTCTGTCTCTTTTTTAGGGATGCTGCTCACAGAGTTCATCCTCTTGCAGGTCAAGGTGTAAATATGGGCTTTGGTGATATTGCTTGTTTGACACATCATCTCAGTAGTGCGGCATTCGATGGAAAAGATCTAGGTAAGGACTTAACATTATAAAGCAAAACATGACAATATGAAATGTCAATGTTTCTTTCCATAATGATTCAACTCATTAGTGCAGTACAGGGTTTGTTTGAATATCTAGTGTCTAACTTGAGTTGAGAACACTGCATTTAATAGTTTTGCTCTGCTGCTCTCTGTAGGAATACTTTCCTCTAGAAAGGAATAACCTTCTAGATACCATTGGTGTTATTTTAAATGAGGAAGTATTTGAGATCTGTTAAAACAAGAGGTGAGAAAAGTACAGCTCTCAGTCCCTCCAGACTTACCTTTCTCAGTACAAAAAAAGAGTAAACAATTACTTGTGGAAGCTTTCAGGAGTGGCAGTTCACATTTTAAATATATTTTAGGGTTGCTTGTTGAGCTATGGCAACCTCATGAATTTTCATGAATTACTCAGAGCAGGTTTTGCCAGTTTCTTCCTCTGTAATATAGTCTGCAGCACCAAGTACTAGACCAGGATTGACTCTGTTTACCTTCCAAGATCAGATGGGATCTAGTGCCTTTAGAATATTTTGACCATATAAAAGGTAAATGTTTCCCCCGACATTAAGTCTAGTTGTGTCCGACTCTGGGGGGTGGTGCTCATCTCTATTTCCAAGTTGAAGAACTGATTTTGTCCATAGACATGCAGTAAGGTAAAGGTAAATGTTTTCCCCTGACATTAAATCCAGTCATGCCCGACTCTGGAGGTTGGTGCTCGGCCAGAGTTGTCTGTAGACACCTCTAAGGTCATGTGGTCAGCATGACAGCATAGAGCGCTGTTACCTTCCCGCAGAAACGGTACCTATTGAATGTATTGTCGAAGGCTTTCATGGCCGGAATCACTGGGTTGTTGTAGGTTTTGTTTGGGCTATATGGCCATGTTCTGGAGGCAATTTTTCTCCTGACGTTTCGCCTGCATCTATGGCAAGCATCCTCAGAGGTAGTGAGGTCTGTTGGAAGTAGGAAAAATGGGTTTATATATCTGTGGAATGACCAGGGTGAGACAAAGGACTTTTGTCTGCTGGGGCTAGCTGTGAATGTTTCAGCTGATCACCTTGATTAGCATTCAATGGCTTGGAAGGGCCTGGGGGGAATATTCACAGCTAGCCCCAGCAGACAAAAGTCCTTTGTCTCACCCTGGTCATTCCACAGATATATAAACCCATTTTTCCTACTTCCAACAGACCTCACTACCTCTGAGGATGCTTGCCATAGATGCAGACGAAACGTAAGGAGAAAAATTGCCTCCAGAACATGGCCATGTAGCCCGGAAAAACCTACAACAACCCGGTACCTATTGATCTCACATTTCCATGTTTTTGAACTGCTATGTTGGCAGAAGCTGAGGCTAACGGCAGGAGCTCACCCCTCTCTCATAAATCCCCCACTCCCATATATTAATGTTTAACACTAACATTTTTGAAACTAAAACTTGGAACTCTGGTACCTTCTAGTTTAGTTTTTCTGTCAATCCATACAATTGTCCATCCCAACATTAGAAGGAACCCAGAGTGTTTCAACCAAATGCTTATCACTTTGTGTTTGCTGCAATGTTTATAGCAGGGCAAGCTTCTTCTCTTTTCTGTTTTACTAGCCAGTTTGGTTATTTAATAAATAAATATTGTCCAGTATAGGACAAAATGGGAGCTGTACGATGGCAAGATATTACTTTCCTCAATACAAAAATCTTAAACATCCTGTCATTTCTACTGGGGTTAATTTTCTAGGATGAATCCAGCCCACAGTCCTGACATTCTTGAATAAACTCAGCTGGCACTTACTTCCTTACTTTTTGTTCCAGGCTCTTTAAAGCACTTGCTAGAGTATGAGGCAGAAAGACAGAGGTACAACATATTTCTCCTGGCTGCAACTGACCTGCTAAAGAGACTGTACTCAACAAGCATCACTCCTTTTGTGCTGCTAAGAACATGGGGATTGCAAGCAACTAACGCTATACCTCCTGTTAAAGTAAGATAGGTTTTTTTAAAGTTACAATTGATACAAGGAAATAAATGACGTATTTAATGAAATAATAATGGGGTAGATATCTGCCATAAGGAGCTGTTACAAGGAGAGGTACTGTAGTTTGAAGCTGAACTCTCCTTATCTACATTGATTAGAAGGCAAAGATGGATACTGCTGTATCACATTTCAATTCAGTGCTGCCTGGATTTTTTATTGAATAGTATGCTTTGAAATGTCACTCTCCTTACCAGATTGCTCAAATGGCTACTACTGAGTTAAGATACCACATTTCAACTTAGCAGGGCCTGGTTGTTTAAATCAAATCATAAAAGATAATACCTATTTTGTTCTGGAATGGATCCCCTCCTATCTACCCTTTTCCTAAAACAATTGTGTGCTGTTTCAGCTCCATTTGTTTTGTGGAATATTCTCCAAAAGTGATAGTTTCTCAGGGGAAAAAGCTTTCCATCATCTTGTTGACAGTTGAACATACTTCAGATAAAATCACGATACTCATGTGGACAGATGTTGGGTATTTCAGAGAGGAATATTGCACATAGAAGGTTTTTCTGGATGCCTCTAGAAAGCCCAAGAGCCACAGCTGCTTGCTGGTTTTAGTAGCTAGAATTTGGCTAAGCATTCATCCAAAATACTTCAAAAATGGACCGACAACCATAGCAGCCCTGGAATTGTTAGAAGTAGTCTCCCTAGTGCAGTTGGTGTGAGGAAAACCTTGAAACAGTGGCAAAAAGCAAAGAATGGAGGTATCTTCTCTTGACTAAATGGGGGGACAAAAACATTCTGGGGAAGAAAAATGAGGAGGACAAACTGCTGAAACTTCAATATTTCTTTGCATAATAGTCATACCGCCATTTTTGGGGTGGCAAAATTGGTATTTTAGTATTTGTTGGATAATAGTTGCATCCTTAGTTCACTCAGGTGTAATTGTTATGCAAAGGGGCTGTGCAGGTGGATGAAACCCCATAGTTGGAAATATTTTTTTCCAACTAGTTTTTTTCTGTCAGAAAAGGAAGTGTGTGACTATTATGCTGTGAAATACAGGTGAATACTTCACTTTGAAAGTACTCAAGCTGCCAAAACAAAACCCAGATGAACGCTTACAAACATGTTGGGGAACATTTTTAAAAAAGCTTGGTCAAGAACAGAAATAAATGTTTGCGTTTCTTTTTCTTCTTCCAGGAACAAATCATGGCATTTGCCAGTAAGTGATCATCTTCGAAGAAAAGAAGCTAGTGATTTTTGTAGACTATCTATTGTGACACTTTTAACATTTCACTGAAGCTGTTTAAAATGGAAAAAGGGGAAACAAAGCAGGAAGCATGAATCTTGACTTATTCTGAATGAAATTATTTCTTTGAGTGAGGCTGGCAGAAAGACTTCTCCTAGAATGCCAGAGATTGCCTGATCTTGCCCAATATTGGATATTAGGAACTCTGTAGGCTGGCCATGAAAAAAAGAGTGAACTAACTTGTGGCTACAATACATACTATGTTAAAGATAGAAAATCCTAGATAAAGCAAGTGGAAATATAGTAATGCACTGCCACTTTTTATTCTGTGGTATTCCCAATTCAATTGATGGTGTAGTTTGGTCAGCAGAAGGATTTAATTTAATTCTACCCAAATAAATTCTACAGCTTTTTACAGTATACATATTGGGCTGTGTTCTCATTTGAATATAACTTCCTTCTTCCTTTGCAGCCTTGCTCTCTTAGACACATGATAGGTAATGGCTTCAAAATGGAGGATGGCCATCTTGCTTACGCACTTCTTTTTAACAGTTATAAAGAATTCTCTGAAGCAGGGGTTCTGAAACTGCTCTTGGGGCTGCTTTCTGCTGCCTCTTTCCTCCTCCTCAGCAATGCAGTTTGGAACTGCCGAAACCACTGCAGCAATGTCAGTGTCCTCCTGGGGGCACAGACTCTGGTTAAAATTGTTCTTCATTTTTAATATCTTATTGTTCTTTCTTTCTTTCTTTCTTTCTTTCTTTCTTTCTTTCTTTCCTTTTTTTTTTTTTTGCACTGTGTGAGTTAGTACACACAAACACTCTCCATCCATCTGCCACTGGTCTGGCCTGTCTGTCAAATTTTAAAACTCAATGCGGCCCCTGTGTCCAAACGTTTCTCTATGTTGATAATATATAAACTTTATTGGGGCTCTACGAAAAACTTTTGCTTCAAAAAGGGCTCCATGGCTGAAAAAGTTTGAGAACCCCTGCCCTAAAGGGTAGCATAGACATACATCATGAGGCTCAATTATAGACCTGAGTCTGAGAAAACTGTTAAAATATTTTAATAACTAAAATAGACATTCAAAATTGTCCTGTCTTAGTCATGTACCATATTCTGAGCCTGGCGATACCCATCTAACTGCATTACAGCACCAAAAAACACGAACACAGCTTATTTATAGGATATTTATGTTATCCTATTAAAATTAACTCATTTCAGAACAATGTGAATGGAATGATATTCTGAACTTCTTATCAGTACCAAATTTGCTCCACAGTGTTACATATGTGGACATTTATGTAAGGGAGGGGGCTCAGTTTGCTTATAGTCTAGCTTAATTTTGTTTAACAGATCTAAGCTAAAACAAAATAAATGTCCTTTCAAGTCACTGTGTGAGCAATAAGTGCCTACTTTAGGGCAGTGGTTCTCAACCTGTGGGTCCCCAGAAGTTTTGGCCTCCAACTCACAGAAATCCTAAGATCTGGTAAACTGGTTGGGATTTCTTGGAGTTGTAGGCCAGAACATCTGGGGACCCACAGGTTGGGAACCACTGCTTTAGGTTAATAAAATGCCTAATATTTGCCTTCATTTCTGATTTTGAAGGGGAAAAAATAATGTAATGCTTCAAAATGTTTTGCTTCATTAATTCCTCCTCCACCAATCATATAGACACTTTTTTAAAAAAAGGCCATTATGTGCAGATCATTAAATATGGTTATAATCTCCTTGCATTGATAAAGACCTGGTCGCTTAAGAAAGCAAGATATTTTCACAAATAATTGGGTTCATCAGAGGGGACGAAAACAATGTTTGATTTTGCACTAGTGTTCAGATTAGTTTGAATAAGTGCTCTCTTAATTAGCAACAGAGGTGACTCATACTGAAGTACATGCTACATAAAGAGAGAAAACCTGAATTTGCCAGACTTAGATGAACTTTGGTACTGTGCTCAAAACCTGAAGTGTGTGCCTGAGTTTACAAATGAGGTTGGAGAGGATGAGGTTATGCTGTGTTTCAACAAAATAATGTTGCTCTGAGAGCAAAGAACGTACTTCTAATTTGCCATCCTCTTTTATCTATTGTAGTGGATTAAAAAATTAGAGTAGGAGAAACGGCTCTGTCTTGCACATTCTGGTACACAAAAATGGGTTCTGAATCATTGTAATACCTACATCTAAAACACACAGTGAAACAGAGTAATGTCTTATTTAAGGCACCAAACAATGGTAACAAACCTATGTGTGCTTACATAGAAGTAAGCCCCACTGAACTTTGAAATCTATGTCAGGTTAAACAAGCACGGGGCTGTGTTGTATTATGTAGACACTAGCAATATAGCATTTGGCATTCAGTAAGAGCACTTAGACAAAAATATGGACTAGTACTGGTTATCACCATATCTTAGCATCTTTGTGCAAAAGCTCTTTAGCAGCTACAAATGTCACATTGTTGTTTTTGAACAATGTCAAAATGGAACCCATAGTTACTACATAATGACACTGAACATTTTACATTTTGTGCAGCTTCAGGAGATGTCCTATTAAAATTAAGGATTTTGATAGCCTGAGCACCTATAACTCAAGAGAATCCAGTGAACTGTGCCACCCTCCAAGTTAAATCTAGACTTTTGGAGAGGCAGTAATGGAGGAAACAGAGTAGCTTCATATTCAGCTGGATGCTTATAACAAGAGTGTCTAATTTTTTTACTTTAAAAATTATGTAACTCTAGACAAAATAATAAGTAGTTTGTGGCTCCAAGAGATTCTTTGCCTAGGGTAGGGTTTACTTTATGGAAGTGAAAGGGAAATAAACAGAACAATTTCTTGGTGAATTATTAAGTTTTCTCTCCACTGTGACTTGAACCAGAAAGCTGTATAAATGGACAAGTCATTTCCATTTACTTATCTTTCCTATAGTTTAATCCTTGAATCTGCCTAAAGTTCAAAAATCTTGTAGCACTTTCCTCCATGTTAAGAACCAGCTAACCCAACAAGCTTGCTTTCTAGAGTTTCAAAGACAGTAAAATAAATAACACACTTCTGTTATGTTTTTTTTAAAAAACAAGTAATTCTGCTAAGTTTTTGCACCATCAAAAGCTTAATGTAAAGCAAGACCAGTTTTGGGATGTATTGCACAGCTTGGAAACATTAACCTTTTGGAACTATTCCTTCAAATGCTTTAGGTTGAGAATCTTATATTTGTAAGAAACATTACTTTTGGGGACTAATGTCTCATGGGCCCAACCAATAGTCATGTTGGCTAGGAGATCTGGGAGCTGTTGTCCAAAAATCACTTCTCCGAGTAGCAAATATCTGTCCATGGCATGTCCAAAGAGGTACTTAAACCTTTTCTTCAATATCAGTTTCAAGGCCCTGCAGCATCACACATAACTTTAAAAATCAATGTCTCAGTGCAGCTCAGGACTGAACAAAATCACTTTTAAAGTTATCTGATTCCTCTACTTTGGTCTGTATTTGGCTAGAAGGTTAGAACCGCCCATTCTTGTTTGAGGAAAACGGAACATCTGACAGGTGATGTCTTCTCAACGGGAGAGTCCTAGGGACTGAAGGAGGTGAAAGGTAGCACCCAAGGCCCAACTTGTTTCTATGTTTTTCACTTTCTTTGCCAGCTGTAAAAAAAAGGACGTGATTAATTCTGCTTGCTGTACACTTCTCAGTGTAATTTCAAACATAATTGTAGGACAATTGACATTGCTTGCCAGCAGTAAATCATAAGACAATGTTAGAAAGTGGAACTCAGTGACACTATATTACAGGAATGTTTACTAAACGTTTAGTAAAGAGACAACTACTGGTAAAGGTTAAGAGTGACCATACCCACTGAAATCTTCGTAAAGAAAAAGCTGGTGTAATATAATGTATCCCCTCCCGCCCCATATTGGACTTGACGAAAAGGGAAAAAATACACTCAACCATTCCATTTATCTTTAGTAGTAGGTCAGTAGGAGTATCCTGAGTTTTGCTAAAATATGTAAAATAAAGACACTCCACTCCATGTCATAATATGCAGATGAATTATTAATACAAGCCACCATCTAGTAAAATGAGCCTCTTGTCTTTGAAAATAAAAAGAAGATTGGCTCTAGCAATTTTTACTTGCCTGTAGTACTGTAGTATCTCCAAATCCAAAACCTTCTTTTAATAATGCTGTAATGTAACTGAGATCCATACACAGAAAAGGGCTAGCAGAGCTGTAGCTGTCCAGATTGTCACACACTACAAAAAACAAAAACAAAAAAGTCTTGTAAGATGAGACACCAAAAAGACAGGATCTGGAATTATTTATGGTAGAATTTCCCAACCTGGTGCCCTTCAGCTGTGCTAAGCAGCTCCATAGCTTTGCTAACTGTGATTATGGGGGCTATGGTCCAACTGGGATTATGGAGGGTATCAGGTTGGGGAGAACAGAATTAAAGGATCATATACTTGTATTCCCCTGCTTCTCTTGTGCAAGAGCTCAGAAGGATTCCAAGGTTTTAATTGCTGTAAAGCTATCAATCAAACTGAATAAGGGTCTATTATTCTCATAGTTTGTCCCAACCCCTTGGGCACAGTTAATTACCTGCCACTGAATATCTGCACCTGCCCCGAAACCCTTCTCAGAACAAGAATATGCCAAAAGATTGCTGTTTTAAGTATTCCTTCCAATGTGTACATACGGGACGTGGTTTATTAAAATATATGATAAAAGTAAGTGGTTGAAACATCTGTAGAAATGAAGCCAGGATTCTGATGTTTACACCGCTTGTAAAGTGGTGATTGTGCTGTTACAAAATCTTTCACCTCAGCTGCTACATTTGGCAAGAGCAATGGTCACTTATCCCTGAAAATGATATTTCACGTTCAGCCTCAATACAGCAGCTGTGCCACTAATCTGAAGACATTACCTGAATGCTTTTAAAAAAACAAGGGTCTGGACTTGAATTACATATAGGGCAGAGTTTCATTCTGGTGGTAAATTAAGAGGAAGGATTATCTCCCCAAGTCTCTGAACACATTTTACCTTCTTTGGCTTTTTGTTCAAAATCTCTCACTTGTAAAACTCCGCCTTTTTCATACTCTGAAATGTAAAAACAAAAAAAGATTATCCTGTGACTAAAAAGATGTAAGAAACAGATGAAGCATGTCCTTGAGGCCAGTGGAATTCCATATCAGCTAAGACACAAAAAAGCAACATGAAAAAAGGAAGGGTTGTTTGCATTACAGTTGCTAAATGAAATGCTTAGGGTGCCTCAGATACATTATTATTAGACTTTCAGAACTTCTTTCCACATGCAATTTGTTCCTTCATAGAATTTATCTGCGTGAGAGACATTAAGTGAGAAAGGTTACATGATAGTAATAACAAGTGCTAAGCCATGGAAAAGTACTGCTCAGCTTATTCATCACACTTGTGAAAAGAGATCATTTCCTACTGCCATTTTATAAAGATACAGCTTCTCAGAAGAGAAAACATGCTTTAATTCAGAAGTCATATATTTTGCTTCCAGATGCACAGCAGGTGAATTACTACTTTGAGCTTTTTGGTCTTTTTTCCATTGCCTAAACAGATATTTGGAGAAGAAAATATACAATATTTCCTTAGCAATTTGGTGTGGTGATTTTGCTACATGGGCTTGTAAGCCTTTATCTGATTAAATCCAGGTAAGTTATAAGATCTTGCTCATTGTGGCTTATTGCATAAAAGGGATAATTGCTCGAATGGAGTTATTAGTCACAGTGTGAATCTACTGAATTAACTAAATGCACATAAGCACTAACTACTAGATCTAGGTCAAAAAGTTGTTGAAAAGGCAAATGTTAGAATATTATGTATCAATAAAGAGCTTGATATATAGAAAGTCACAGGGAGGAGGGAGCAATTTTGTTTTCTGCTGCCCTGGAGACTAGGACACGGAAAATGGCTTCAAACTACAAGAAAGGAGATTCCATCTGAACATTAGGAAGAACTTCCTGACTGTGAGAGCCGTTCAGCAGTGGAACTCTCTGCCCCGGAGTGTGGCGGAGGCTTCTTTTTTGGAAATTTTTAAACAGCTGTCGGGGGTGCTTTGAATGCAATTTTCCCATCTAGGGGTTGGACTAGATGGCCCATGAGGTCTCTTCCAACTCTATGATTCTATATTTCATGTACAATGTAATTTTCCCTGATTCACTCTTTATTAATAGCTTTCTAAAGGGGAAAAGAGAGCTAAATGGCTTATTCTCCTCTTGGGCAGCTTATTAAAACTAAAACACATCCAATATATGCTGAACTGCACAGCACACTATTTCTGTAACACAAAGCCACTCATCTAATATGATTTACATGAAGTAAACACATTGTTGTGGCCTACACAGATGATAACAAAGGAATTTGATTCTTGACCTTGCCCCTGATGCAACTGCAGCACCGCCTTTTATCATATAATCATAATAAGCGAAGATAAGGCCTGCAGCAGGAGCAAGATACCAGGTAGCTTTAGTAGGGCATGATGTGTACTACATTGATGGAATAATTAGCTACCAAGAAAGTAATACTGAAAACTTTTATACGTAGGTGGCAATCAGTATCTGCTGTAGTTTTGCTCCAAGCCCCCCAATAGATACCAAAATCTGTCAGTACTTAAATTGCATTATATATAACGGTGTAATAGAATGGTATCCTTTATATTAAATGGCAAAATCAAAGGGTTTTTTTTATTTTGGAGGAGGGCATATTTTCAAGTCATGGATGATTGAATCTATGGATAGAGAATCTGTGGATACAGAGGGCCAGTTGTATATAATATACTTTTATACATATAGTATACATGTGTGTATAAGTATATAGTGCTGTATAGTATTTTAACTATTTTAAATTATTTTAACAGATTTGTAATTTTAATTGTATTTTAATATTTATATGACAGAGATTTTAGATTGCATTGGGTTGCTGTGAGTTTTTCGGGCTGTAAGGCCATATTTCAGAAGCATTTTCTCCTGACGTTTCACCAGGATCTATGGCAGGCATCCTCAGAGGTTGTGAGGTCTGTTTGAAAGGCAAGTGGGGTTTATATATCCGTGGAATGTCTAGGGTGGGAGAAAAAACTCTTGTCTGTTTGAGGCAATTGTGAATGTTTGAATTGGTGACCTTGATTAGTATTAAATAGACTTGCAGCTTCAAGGATTGGCTGCTTCCTGTGTGAAACATCAGGAAAAAATGCTACTGGAACACTGGAATTCACAGTTATTCCGGCCATGAAAGCCTTCGACAACACTTAGATTGCATTGTTTTTTATTGTTGTGAGTCACTTTGCATCTCAAGCACAGAGATAAAAGTGGAATACAAATAAATATATGACATTAACAACAACTGGGTTGTATTATTGATAATTTGTATATAATGGGTGCTTGTGAAGCCTCCTTCTAGTCCAGTTCCCAGAGTAATAGATACACAGTCTGCGGGTAGGGGAAGAGTTACTATGCAACACATTTTACTTTTAGTTCTTAGAAAAAGAGATACTTCCATAACAGGACCGGTTCTGTTCTTGGAATGCAGATATCAAAATTGTGTCTGTCTGTGTGTCTCTGTGTCTCTCTGTGTGAGTGTGTGTGCATATATATATATATAGCCTATTTATTGCAAAAAAAGTGTTGGTTTGTTAAAAATCCTATTACAGAGATAAATAACTGAAATTAGTAGTCAGTTGTGAACAGAGTAAAGAAGTGGAAGGTTAAATTCAAGCAAAGTGGTAGTACTGCAGGAGAAGAAATCTGATCTGAATAGAAATCTGATCTGAATAGAAAATTCCTCCTGAAGAGAGGTACAGAGTTTAAGAAGCATTTGCCATAAAAGTGTAGTTATACATCAACTACAGTATTATCCAGAAAAAGCACACCTTGCCTCTATAAAACAGTTTTATCACTGTAATGTGCTTTATGTAGGACATGGAGCAATGGATTAGCTAGTGTTAGTGTACTTTCAACTAAATTTTTATTGATTGCTACTGCCCACTTACTAACAACTCAATGTAGTTTTACAGTTTTTATATTAATTAAACTATATGTGATACAATGCTGTATTTCATTTTGTAAAAGATTTATTTATTTATCATGTCAGAAGCAAGTTGTGGGTACATTTAACATGTATTTAAAAACACAAACGAAGTTTAAAAACTTGGCATTATGCTAAATATCCTTTGACCTCTGAAAAATGAACTAGAATCACAAGAGATAAATCCCTTCTTTCCCCAAGTCTTACAACTTAAGTAGGTTTTCAAACAGTGACTATTCACCTATCAAGTCAGTGTCCACTGCCCGGTCATAATAATAAGAAAAGGCGTAGAAGGAGCTCCTCTGAATTTCTTCTGGTTGGTGCAACTTGCCTCGTACAACCTTCAACACTTCAGAATAACATGGTTCAAATCCTGTTTCCCCTGCTGGAGTAAACACACACATGTAAACATGGCACAAGCCACAAGTCATAGTACAAATACTGCAGAACACATGGCAATAAAATTTAGAAGAGAAACATGAAAAAAACAAAAAAGCATAAAAATACATATTAAACAGTTCAATATTAAACATAGCATTCCTTGGCCCCTGAGAATCGGATAATCAAGTGGACTGTCAAATGTAGCATTACTTCAATGGGTTAAGATATTCCAATGAGCACAAATTTAGACTAGCCATTTCAGTCTGCCTCAAAATATGTCAAGTCCTAGCCCCACTAGGCCCCCTAGACCATATCCTTGGAGAACATTTTCCCAAATTACAAGAGAAGAGGGAACAGCTAAAAATCCCCTTCGTTTGCATCAGTCTTGAAAATTATCCATCTAACTTGCCTTCTTTGTTACCACCATACTGATATTTTACTCCCCCAAAGTGCCACTCTGCTTCCAGTTCTTTCGGCAAACAAGAACTCCGGAACCTCTGTCCATCTGCTGCAGAAGAAAATGCAAGAAAGAAAAATAAAAGATCGTATGTTTCTTATAATTATAATTGCAAGAGAAAGCTGGGAAAATTTAAGTTTATATTCCATTTTGAGCAGTAAAATAAAATTTGGTTTGTTTCTCCAATACTCGATCCAGAATCTGTATAGGTGAGAAAATACAAAAAATAGGCGCAAGTTGGAAAATATTTCTGGATTTTACCTCCATGAATGGAATTAAAAACATATAAATGATAAGGATAGAAATCTACATATATTTTAGGTTGGGTGGGGAAAATGTACCATATATTTTGATGAAATGGAAAAGTACAAGTTGTATGCACGTCTAAAGGAGTCTCTTATACATTACTAATTCTGAAAATATTCATTGGCTAATCCAAATTATTAAATGGGTTTAATGCAAAGGAGGTCATCCCCTGAAACTCAAATCTTTTCACATTCAAGAAGAACTGGAATCCAGGAAGCTGTACTGTTGGACAAAGCAAATCTTTACTCATTATAAAATAGAACCACAGTACAAGTAGTCCCCAAATTACAAACATATGACTTACAAACAACTCATAGTTAAGAATAGGAATGAGAAAAATCTACCCCTTGAAAGGGAAATTCACTTCTGAAAGAGTTATCATGGGAAAAAGGTGTTTCCATTGAAGCTTTAGCACCAAGCTCTGTTTCCACAACAAGCCAGATTTTTCAAAATCCAATTATCACAGAATAGAAAGGGAGGTGAAATCTTCTGAACAGCGGCACAGACAGCAAAGGAAACACCACAGTAGTATTCACCCTTTCCTATGCTATCCAAAGCTAGCTAGATATGTATATGCGTGTGTGTGTGTATTTGTCTGGAGTTAAACTTTTAAAAAGTTCCAACTTACAAAATCAACCCCAGAGATCCCTCCGTTCTGAGGACCAAGATCTATTGGAAGTCCCCAGTGTCAAGACCTTGCGTCTAACAGCAACCAGACGCAGAGCCTTCACAGCAGTGGCACCATCACTCTGGAATACTCTGTCACCTGAAGTCCGTGCCTTGCGGGACTTACCAGTTTTCCGCAGGGCTTGTAAGACATACCTGTTTCGACAGGCTTTTAATGTTTGATAGTGTTGTTTTTAAATTGTTTTAAATTGCTTTTAAATTTTGTTAGATTTTAGCTATTCTTGTAAGCCGCTCCGAGCCCCAGTTTAAATAATAAATAAATAAATAAAACGTAAGAACAAATCTACAAATCTACCTATTTTTTGTTACTTGGAGACTGTCTATATACATTGCTTAGCAGTATAAACAAAGAAATCACCACAGAAACTCAATTCCACCCAAGGACTTGTCTTTGATAAGTAAGTGCATGGCACGCAAGGCAGTTTCCATTATTTCTCAAGGTTTGGCTGCCAACAGAGCTAATTCAGGTGGACCTTTTATAGGTGGACTCTGTTTGACCAAATTTGCATAACAAATACACACTGGCTGCTTCAGTGGCAGTAGAAACATCTTGATGGAGGAAAAATCCCCTCTAGAAAAGGGGATTAAGGAATGCACAATTGGATGCAGGTAGTGTATCCGATGCTTGCCCAGGGATGGCTCACAAGATATACATGAATGGGAGAGATTCTGAGATTGGAACTGAATGGGAGAAATTCTGACGAAAGGCCTTTATAACAGACCAGCATTAAACTTGTATTGTTTGTTTGTTGAGCTGTATTCCAGTTAGGATCAGCTCTAATATCTAGTAAAGTGAATACCTCAGGCAAGACTTCAGATTGGAGAGAGAGTGGCCATAGCAGTCCACTGCACTGACCATTCCATCTACCATCGTAGCCCATTCTCATCCTCCTGAGCTGACACCTTGACAAAAACAATGCTTGCTTTTTGCTGAGCAAGTTTTTCTGTTTGTCTGATCCACCTTCTCTAAATGTGTCAGATATTCTGTCTGGGAAAGGCCTCTGCCCAAGCTTGCAAAGTCAGCCACAGGTCATTTACTGCAGTAACCCCCATATGTATAGTTGCATCCTCACATGACATATACTGTACTGCAGCACTTGATCCAGAAAACTACAACTTCTAACAATAACAACAACCCGCCTCTCCTTGCAGCTTAAGGCAGGGTACAACACAGTTAAAACAGACAGACAAAACACAACATATAACAGAGTAGAACAATTACCTCCTATAATGGAGACACCATTCTCCTCTGATTGCAGCACAAGACCTTGTTAGCTGGCCATCATATTGCTGGGTCATATTTAGCTACACTAAACCACCTGATCTCTTTTCATGTCAGCTGTGGCCACACCAAGTTTATAGCATGCTATACTTGGATATTTCCTTTATGTAACCACATGTAAGACTTTACATTTAATTCTGCAAAACTTCATTCTAAGATTCAAAATGGCAGAAAATAGATTTTAAATTAAGCACAAGATAAAACAATGAGCATGTGATGGTGAAGTACTGGACAAGAAAGCTATGTGTGCAACAACTGTAGCCCCCAGTTACTGTGGAGGATGCTATCTAATCACCAATGGAATAAGATTCAATTGCAAATCAAATTGAATGGGGTTTCTGAATGGGGAAACAGTTCCTTCTTCATCTTTGCTTTAGATAATATGTTTTGGACCTATTTTGATTTCAGTATACTGATTTGCAAGAACATTTTGCACACGGAAGCAGTTCAAGTTACAGTGAATCAGAAACTGTAAATGCACATGGATTTGGGTGTGAATTCAAATATGCACTCTGTGAAACACACCTTCAGAATGGGTTTTCATCTGCACTACAAGGTGAGAACGTGGCATTCCAAAGTGAATAGCGTTGAGGATTTGTTTTCAATTCCAATCCTTGGGCCATTCACCCTGCTCCCTTTCCCCTCTTAATCCCTCCCTGAATTGGGTACATGGGCCCCAAGATGATCACTATGTGGACCAGGGGATGTGTTTTTCTGTGCGTGTGCTGTAATAAGCATGACCAGACCCCCATCAAACTGAATAGGAACAGCCAAGACACAGTAAAAATAAATAAACAAATAAACAAGCAGACACATTAAGATAATACATTAACTTCTATTGAATCCTCCGCAGCTCCCTAAAGCCCTTTTCAGTCTTATCGGCTGACTGTCTTATCTCTATTACCGCATTTCCTTGTTTCTATGCCAACTCCCAGCTATCTGTCTAGGCCATCTTTTCCTTACCTCTAGGATATGTTTCTCTATTTGCCTTCTGTCAGAGGTAAGCCTTCTCTCCCTAGGCCCCCCTTCACTGCATTCCCTGAGCAGTAACTGGCCGGCTCTAGCCTAGCTTCTTCACAGGAAAGTATATTTCCAGTTCGCTCTAGTTATACCAAACCTGTAGAGAAGCTATTAAATTTTGCACAGAGTAGAAAACTGATAATGTGCCATATCCAGGTGCAGTTGCATTGATACTTCAATTCATCCTAGAAACTTAAAGGCAAATGTTCTTTCCATTTGTATCCGAGCCTTAAAAGTATTAGGTCATCATGTTTTCTCTTCTAGTATTAACCATATAGGCAAATGAATTTGATTATTTAACTTAATTCAATAGCCTATACTGAATCTTCTCATTGTGATGTGTAGAGTTTTAAAATGCCTAGTTCAGAAATGTGTCCATCATTATGTACCATAATATTAATCACAAAATGGATGAAATTTGAAATTAACTATCTGAAATCTTAAACTATTTTGGATATGATATTGCAATAAGGTGCATATTCACCAAAAGATGAAAACAGAGACTAAGGATAACAACAACAACAAAATTTTATTTATATCCCTCCCATCGCTACGTGGGGACCTAGGGCAGTCCTTCTAACAATAGTTATCTTGTGAATTATATTAGCCCACATAAAAGTGCTCCAATGTGCTGAAATGTATCCTCTTGGCACAATGTTTGTGTATTTAAATGTCATTAACTGCTTGAAAAGGCAGGTGATACATTCACTAATAACCTTTCCCCAATTAACTAGAAGGTATTGGTAAAATCTGTTTGCTCACTCACTGATGAGACTAAAAAACCCCAAAATGGTCGTTTTTCAAATAAAAGACTACTACCTCCTGCCATTCCAAATTTCAAGACTCTAATGCAGAGGTTCCAACCTTTGGGTCTCCAGGTATTTTGGACTTCAACTCCTAGAAATCCCAGCCAGTTTACCAGCTGTTAGGAACTGTGGGAGTTGAAGTCCAAAACACCTGGAGGCCCAAAGGTTGGGAACCACTGCTCTAATGGAACACTGTTTTCTAAAGCACTGCCTATTTACAGAAATATGAAGGCTCTGACTCTCTGACCTAATTCATATTGGCTGAAGTCCGGAAAAACTTGTTTTTCAGCAATTGTCCAACCATTTGTTTTCTTCACCCTTGACCTGCCTACCACAGATTTTCCCACAGCCTCCTCTTGAAATATTGTATGTTCCCACTACTATTCAGTCATACTGTATCTTATTTGTCTTTGTTCATTCAATAGTATTACAACTGAAATAGGAATGGTGCCCCCACTCCTAGAGAAACCACTGATAACAAGTACACAGCCAGACATGAGATGCAAATCAATATTAGCTGAACATCCTCTCCTCACAAACAGGCACACTCCATTCATTCTGCATGAATGTACCTTCCATATCCAAGGCTCCCAAGGTTGCTAGTCGTGCAGCTTTCAGTCCAAATCCCAAATAGCTGTAAAGGAAGAAATAGTATTAAACTACCAATTAGAAGAACCTGTTTTATAAATACTATCACAAACAATAACTTTGCTATGATAGCTTCTTGTTTGCTCAGCACATGGCTTTTTATCAGTAATCCATTAGTTGCTCTGTTTTTCATCATATGAACATAGAAAAACATATCTAGTATTCTGAAATAGGCTTACCAAATTACTCTAAGAAATGACGAAGAAGAGTTTAAAATTCAAACACTACTGATGTAAATGTTCCTTCTGTGCTCAAAAATTATCTTAGCCAGTATTTAATATAGCATCTGCTCACTCACCTGTGTGTGTAGAGCTTAAAAGTGCTGTTGAACATTTGAAATGAGGTAAAGAAATCCATCGGGGTTTGTTCCAGGGTTTCCTAAAATTAGTGTAATCATAAAGTACTGTTCAATGATTGCTGTTTCACTACTGATTTCCGTATATATTTTATATCTGAATATTGTATATTGAAACAGAGCTCAAGTGTCACTAGACAGAAGTGATAGATGCTTTTCCACAGCAGAAAAATAATGCTGATAACTGTCTCCATGCTGCAAATGCCTGGGACTCAAGAAGTATTCCTCAGAGACATACATACATGGTTGCAAAGCTGCCCTAAGGAGACTGCCTGGGTCCCAGCAGCACAGACGAAACACTTGACCATACAGAAAGATCTCCTCAGAGCTAAACATTGGAAACCTATGAAAAATTCAGGGACATATACTGTATCCATAATATGGATTGTAGACCATGAGATCAGAAGCAATCTAAGTTCAGAAAGAGCTGATAAGTGATAGCTATGGACAACTACCATTCACAAAAACTGTTGCTGCTAGTAATATAAATTCCTGTTTGCCAATTAACACATACAGTGTGATGAGAAATATTTTTCTTAATTCAAGATTCTGGTAACAGATGAAAACTTCTTAGTAAAGTGTGGCTCAAGAGGCTTTAATTCTAATCTATATCTGAAATTTATTCACTCCACAATTGTCATTTTAGCATGTGATAGTGTCCTGCAAAGTTGGACAGTTCAGCCATTAAAAAAAACCCTGCCATGTGGACAATTTCAACAGAAAGGAGGAAACCATGAAAATGAACAACATCTGGCTATCAGTATTAAAAAACTCTAAAATTGCAACAGCACAACAACAGAGAGGAAGCAGGCAGGGATATCTAATTACTTCTCAACAAAAGTTTGCTCCAGGCACAGTCAGCCCATTGTGTGCTAATCAAGGTGGTCAGTTGAAACATTCACACCTAGCTCCAGCAGACAAGAGTCCTTTGTCTCACCCTGGTCATTCCACAGATATATAAACCCTTTTTCCTAGTTCCAACAGACCTCACTACCTCTGAGGATGCTTGCCATAGATGCAGGCGAAACGTCAGGAGAGAATGCCTCTAGACCATGGCCATACAGCCCAAAAAAACCTACAACAACCCACTCAATCTCAGTATTTTTCATTTCCTCATATAATTGTCACATGAAAAAAAAACGCACACACACACACCCAGAAACAGAGCCCTCTGGGGGCCCATTCTCTTCCCTATTTCTTGGAGGTAAAAAAAACAGAAGCCAGTAAAACTACGCCATGTTTTTATCACATAATAGTCACACCTTCCTTTTTCAGCAAAAAAGGCATAAAATGCAACTATTATGCAATGAAATATGGTAATACAGTTATGCTGGTCTATGTAATTACATTTGCCAAAGCTTACCACTGCTGTGAATTAATATTTCTTCTGAAATTGCCACTGAATGTGTTGAGATGTTTCTACATGCATCGATTTTAACAAGGACTCAGAACAGTTTCCTACCCAACACATAATACTTCATTCTGGCCTGTAAAGACCCAAATATATTTGATGGATTGCCTTCCCCTTTCTGAGTCCTTAAGTATTCAAAATGTTGTTATAAAATAGCTTGAGAATCAAGGATATGAAATATCACTACCTTCTAATATTTAAATATTGAAAATTTAAAAGAAGCCCATTAGCCCGAATTGTTCTTATTTAAGCTGTCTAGATTTAGATGAAGCACAACACAAAATAACTGCACCACCTGCAGCAGACTATCCAGCATTATGGCAATCGCAGCAGATTGTACTGTAGCACAAATAGGAATCATGAAGCTTTCTGGTTGTTGCTGGCTTGAAACTCTCAGTCCTTGCCATTGGCTGCACTGACAAGGTCTTTGGGATATGAAGTCCAACTACACAAGGAAGGCCAGATGCATCCCACTCTGTGTTACAGGTATTCCTCACCTCGAGCTGTGGCAGAAACGTGATCTGTGTAGAGGCTCCTCCTAGGTCCAGGATCCCCACTGTCTGCTGGTTCCGGCCATACAGCTGCCCTACAAGTAGCATTGTAAAGATCAAAGACTATGCATACGACACAAGGGATCGCACACTATTTGGTCTTCACAACCCTGGATGGACTCCAGAAGCAGTTAGGTCAAGATTAAAACTGAGCTAGCAGCAAGAGAACAGATTATCTACATTTTAAAATTTAGTACACAGTAGCAATTACCTGTTAAAAAGTTCACAGTGATCCAGGCTAAAATACCTGTAAAGGTGAAGAGAGAAAAATTCATGAAATCCTTCAATCTTTAAAGTTCAATAGTTGCACACAAAAACAGGCAGAAATACTGCCCTCTGTATAATTTCATTAGTCCATTATCTGCACTGGTCTCATTTCAATACATTCCCAGGTTTCTTAAGACTCTCTTTGTTTTCAGTGAGAAAGAGGAAGCATAAGAACGTACCCAAATGTTGTCATTCCTTCATATATATTATTTTATTTTCATTCTTTTCAAACTTTAACTACATAATCTATCTAAAATTTTAATTAACATCCCCATTTCAAACATAATCCAGTCTTTTTAGGAAAATCCTACAGAATGATTACATCAAGTTAAATCAAACCAGCTCTGTAGGACACTCTGAACCACTGAACTTGCTTTGAGACTGTTAACCAAATCAGCATGATGAAAATACGGCTGAAGGGGATCTAGGCTGAACTCTGTATGTAACTGGTATGATGCAACACCAAACTGAGAGAAGTGTAAGGCTATCTCAAACCATATTTACACTGTTGGTTGGTTTATAAATCTGTATTATCTTCGCTATCAGGATGAGGATGTGTGCCTCATAACACTATGGCAAACAAGATCATGTGATAAATGATGTTGACTGAGATACAAACCATACATGTGACAAAACAAATAAGCATTTCCTTCTTAGTGTCAGATTCAGTCAAGATACACTGATTCTACCATTCCAGCTAGTGAAATCTGTTTTTTGCTTGGCTTTTTCTAGTTATAAACTACATGAAGTAGACAACTTACCTATCAGTAATTGCACTTTTCATCTAGTGCAGTGGTTCCCAACCTTTTTTTTTGACCAGGGACCACTTTGGCCAGGGACCACTTCTCCAACATTAGTACCAAAAGGGTTACGAATCAGTTTTTGCTCAACTTTAGATTCGGTTTGGGGTGCTGATTCAGAAAATTGCATTGGATAAACCACATCAACTTGTTTCTGATACAGAACATATGCCATGGTCAATGACAGGGAAGGAGTGGTAGGCGTGAAAGGAGCGGAAATAAAATAAAATAAAGAAAAAGGCTTGCGGACCAGATTTTTGTCCTCGTGGCCCACTGGTGGTCTGTGGCCCACAGGTTAAGAACCACTTATCTAGTGGTAATTATTTTATGATATTTTATCAGTGCAAGAAAGGATTCTTTATATTGTATCTTTCTAATCAACTGTGTTTAATCATTACTTTATTTGTATCCCACCTCCAGCCCAACACCGGGACTCAAGATGGCTAGTATGCACACACAGAATTCCCACAGGTGGCAGATGAACTCAGCACAGGCACTCCATGTTCTCCAACCACCTTTTTTTTTTTTTACTATTCACAATTTGATTTGTTTGTATTGATTTTGTAGGCACTCCCCCCTCCCCACCCATTTCCTGCAGTGCCATTGGTTTTTTGGTTTTTTTACATTTCAGGACCCACCTTCATAAGTGCCATCCATGATACTAACGCTATCATCGGGAACTAAAAAAGGGGATTCCTCAAAGACTTCCCTGATCTGTGAAAAAGAAGAAAAAACCTGCGTGATATTCCTAGAATTTGCAGCCATTCACCAATTTGAGTGTATATGTTATAACTTTCCTAAAACAAGTAAAACAAGGCAGTCCAGATTTAATACTTTTCCCCGAGCTTCTAAATACTAGAAACCAAAACAAGAGTACCTACAGACACTTGACCTTTTTAAAGAGAGAGGGAGAGTGAAGGCAGACACCTACAGAAGCAATCAAGGACCTGTCTGATTTGTATACCTTGGTGTCTCCACACCTACAAGACATACAAGCCTATGTTACCTTTGAGAGAAGAGCCTGGGCTTTGTGCTCAGCTAACAGCCTCAGGCCAGCTGTGGCTTTCAAGACTACTGGTGTCTTCTTCCAGTGACTGTGTGGAACAGCTTCTTTGGCCATGTCTAACAACTGTCTGACACTTTCAGCTCCCTAAAGATAAGCAGAAAAAAAGATAGTAACACCAATGATGTTGAGTTCAGTACTAGTTTGAAAGCTTCTTTATAATATTACTCTTCTTTCCGTTCCTACCTTAAAGCTCAACCTTTTTTGTAAGACTTCATTCTTTACTTTTTGTTCCCAAACTGTTTAAAATACCTGCAGCTGCATTTGCTACCAAACATCCTTTACTGTTCTCATCTCTCAACCAAAACCTCTATTGCTAATACTTTGTTTTAGTCTGAATGCTCCATCAGTGCAGGGATTTATCTATTTTCCTCCTTTATGTACCTCTGACGATGTTCTGTGTGGGAAGAAAGTGCAGCTTAGTAGAACTGCACATGCTTTACCTGCAGAAGGTCCCAGGCCAATTCCTCACATCTTCAGTTAAAAGTATCAAATGTTAAGTCATGGAGAACTACTAGCTAATTACAGCATGTAGTAATGGACTACACAGAGAAGAATCCTGACCTTATATAGTATAAGGCAGCTTATTATATACTGTGGGTTTGTAGAAATACAATTTCCTTTACAATGTGGTACTATATGACTGGTCTTACAAATTTCCTGACAACTATCATGTGCCCACTATTCTTTAAACTATCTATTGTCTCAGTTTTCCATTTTTGTCACTAGTGTTCCTTTTTATCTTTAGCTGAAGGTGGACAACTTGGTCCTTCAGATATTCTTGGGATTGTTTGTACCTCATTGCTGACTACAATGCCTAAAACTGAGCATATTTTGTTGTAGCAGTAAAGAAGGGAAATGATCTTCTAGCCTGCATCAATAGAACTTGAGGGAAAGGAACATTCCCACTATATTTTTGTTCTGGTCAGGCCTCATCTATAGTACTGCATTCAGTTCTGGGCACCTAGTTTTAAGAAGGATATAGACAAGATGGAGTGAGTTCAGAGAAGGGCAACAAGGACTCTAAGAGGTATGAAGAACAAAACATATGAGGACAGGCAGAAAAAGCTGGGCATGTTCAGCTTGGTTAAGAGAAGACTGAAGGGTGACATGACTGCTCTCTTTAAATAGTTCGAGGGTTGTAATGGCATCAGAAAACGTGTTTGCTCCATCTTCAATATGATATTAATTCAAATATTGGAACATGGTTATCATGTCCCTTCTTAACCTTCTTTTCTCCAAGCTTAACATACCCAGCTCCCTAAGCTGCTCTTCATGGGGCATGGTTTTCAGACTTTCTACCATTTTGGTCACCCTTCTCTGGACACTTTCCAGCTTGTCGATAGCCTTCTGGAATTGTGGCACCCAGAACTGGACACAGTATTCCAGGTGAAGTCTGACCAAAGCAGAAAACAGTGGGACTATGGTGTCCCTTGATCTCGGCACTACACTTTTACTGATGCAACCTATAATCACAAACAACAACAACAACAACAACGACAGCTTTATTTATACCCTGCCACTATCTCCTAAAAGGACTCGGGACGGCTTACAGAAGCACATATAAGTGCCGTAATACATAAAAATAGAGGTAAAATTACATCAGCATATTAAACAATGACAACATCAGTTAAGACAAAACTTTCACATGTATTTGATGGCCCATGAGGCCCCTTCCAATTTGATAATTCCATGATTCTATACATTAAATGTCTTAGAAACCTGAAGGGTTATAGTTCCCTATAGCTGTATTAAATAATGAAGAAAGTAGCCAAATAATCACAAAACCCCATCTTACCTTGTCAGGCTGATCAGCATATGCAGAGAGACCTGGCTTTACTGATTCAAAGATTTCCCCTTCTAACTCTGCAGACTTTTCTGCAAAGATTGCATTAAAAAATATATAACAATCACTCTTTTCATACAGTATATGACCGAACTATTGACAATCAGGAAGGATATATTTGAAATGTTTACATTACATGTGTGCTGTGAAGATCAAGATTAATATTATTTTGCCATACCAAATAATAGTGACAGTATAAATGGAAACTCTTGACATAACAGAACATTCTGCAAACGGTGGCCCGATAACTGGATTTACAGCTGTATACTTTCTCAGTAAATGAGTAGAAAATTCAGTCCAGAATAGAATTGCACTGGAAAACCTAAAGATACCCAGGGAGAAACTTCTCTAAATATCTGTAGATCGTCCTGCGTGATTTGGTGGTCAAGCTCTGGCAAAAGATTCCTAGAGAGATATTCTCTCAGGTTGAAAAACACACTTTTTAATTCCAGTTTTCTCACTTTCATGGGATCCTATGCCCCTACTGCAGTAAATGTGAAGAGCTTACTGTTTGGGAAAGGCTGTACCATATAAGATGTTATGGTCTGTTGTCATTTATTCCCAATTAGCACTCTGCTTCCATTATGCTTTTTAAGTGAGAAACCCTTTTTTTTTTAGCAGAAACAGTCCGACCTGCCATTAATTTGATTAGAAGTCTTGCATTATCTGCATTCCTAGCCTGTCATGCCCCTACCCCTTTTTCTTTACTACCAGTACAATGTTTATTTCCTCCTCCACCTGCACCTGAGTACATTTCTGTCAGCATGTTCACTCATGTTCGACACAATATTAGTTTCAATTCTCTTTCATGCAGAAACAAAGAGTCAATGATTTAATTACATTAGTCTCAAGTCATTCCAGTATCAAGATCACCCCCTTCTCCTGTTTCTTTTCAAGCATGTATTTCAGCCCACTGCATTTTATTTATTCAGAGCATGGTACTGCAGCGGATGTAACTATGCAGCTCCAGGACTATCTTGTTTGTATATATGTGCCTTCAAGTTGCCTATCAACTTATGGCAACAACATTAATTTCATAGTGATTTCTATATTCTAGAAAAGGACAATTTGAAGTTTGAGAATTCCGGCGCAAAAAGAAGTTCAAGGGTAACCAAGAACATAAATCAAATGAAATATCAAAAGACCAAACTATCAAAATAAAGAATTCAAAAATATTATCTAACAATTCCTGAACAGTGATCTTTTTCTCTTTTCCCAGCTAAGCATCTTTTTTCCCCATGTCAGGAGTGACTTGAGAAACTGCAAGACGCTTCTGGGATGAGAGAATTGGCCACCTGAAAGGACGTTGTCCAGGAGAAGCCCGGATGTCTGATATTTTACCATCCTTGTGGGAGGCTTCTCTACTGTCCCCATATGGGGAGCTAGAACTGACAGAGGGAGCTCAACCTGTTCTCCTGGGATTCGAACCACTGACCTGTTGGTCAGCAGTCCTGCTGGCACAAGAGTTTAACCCATTGCATCACTGGGGGCTCCTTATGAAACAATATCACTTTCTAAGTTAGGAAACATCCTTTTCCTTTCTGCCAATATACCCTAAGAAAAAGTATTTTTATATCCCCACAGATAACTGATACTAACCTAAGAATTTGCTTCAGAAACTGAATTAAATAGATGGCATAAAATTAGTTCTTACGTCACTAGTATGTTACAATCTTCGTCAAACTATTTGATTCAAGTATTTCAATCCCAAAATCCCTTGGCGCTTTCTATGACAAAATTATAATCCCTGTCCCTTAAATAAAAATCTTCTCAAACAATACAGAATTCAAATGAAACAAAAAAAATTATTTAAAAAAAACATATAATTTTCTACAAACTGAGAAAAAGTGACAAAAGCTAGAAAAAAGCAAGACTGCAATTACAATGAGAGAAAAAAGACTTAAGAATTTCTAACATAAATAAGCTAGCTTTCCAAAATCTGGGTGATAAACAAGCCAGTTGGTATGAGTATTAGCCAAGATTTAGAATACATTCATAATGCAATTCTTCCCCTTCCCCTGGCATTATTCTTTAAAAAAAACCCACACATCTAACCTGGAGAACCTTTTCACACAATCTTACCTGAGCTTTTCTGTTTAAAAGTATAAATGTGAATTCGTGTTCCTGTACTTCCTGCATCAAACATGATGCCATAGAACGTTTTTTCGCTGGCATTGGCAGGGCACACCTTAAGTGGGAAGAGGTCTTGAAACCATATTTCTCGGTTGGGATGAGAAACTATGCAGTAAATGGAGGAAAGTGCAAATAAGGCAATGGCTGTGATCCATGAAAGTGCCATGGTGCTTGCAACCTGTTGTTTCAGTCAGGATTTCCAAAGCTGCAGAAGATCCTGGAGACAAAAATTATGATAGAGCACAAGTATCAGCTCAGCACCTATAAAGCCACAACTTCTCCACATCCTTAAATGTTGGCCTGTTTGCAGAGACCAATGTAAGTATCCTACTTCATGCTGCAGTGCTACACTGGGGATTTTTTATGTTCACTATCAGAACTGCTCTTTTTGAGTTTACAGAACAATTTATTCTCAGACTGCCTTCAACTAATTCAATACATATGCAAACATTCCTCCCCTGCACTTAACAAAGTTACAACTCAAATAATTTCTTAATAAAGCAGCACTCCAAGCTAGATCATTGGCATGAATATACCAATTCAACTCAAAATTGTAATCAGACAGAGCCTTCTGTATCCTACCACACTACAAGAAGGCTGACGTGGACACAGAACACGAATGTCATTTTAAAAAAACAATGGGAGACTCATCTTCTGGGGATGCCAGCTGCTTAGAGAGATCGTTTTACAGGGAGAGCAAAATATACCATTCTAAGCTCTTCCATAATTGCCAAGAAAGCAGAAATGTGTGGCTTTCTAGCCTTCCAGACTGCAAGTGGAATCCTCGCCCATACATATATCCCTCATCCCTAAAGTACACTGTCCCTAAAGGGATAGAACAAAGAAGCGTATTCAGCTATAGTTTTCGTATCCAACTTTCCTTTCAGGATGTTCTTTATCTTTGAATAACGTTGACTTCCAAATCAGATGCAAATCATTCAGAAATGGAAATTCTCTGTTAATGCCATTATAATCTTTGGTTTGTAGTACCAACAGCATGACATATTGCAAATTCCCAAAATAATTGTAACATAAAAGAGAAAGTAAATATAATGTATAAAATGTCCAAAGCTCTTCAGGTCACCACAAATTTACAAAATCTGCCTTCTAAAAACAGACCATTCTTTGACAAGGGTGCATTACATAATAATATAGCAGCAGCAAATGCACAACATTTTTTGCCTTCTTGCTCTTTATTATAATAAAAGTCAGGACCCCACATCATTACACAGTCTTCTGTTCATCTTCACAGAGAAAACATTTGGGAAATAACACCTTTATTTCGTTCTGTTCAAGGTTTTTTTTCTTCCTACTGGAACAACTTGTTTTAACCTGTTAGATAACTCAATTTGTCTCCATTTACACAGGTATCTGTTCACTTCTCAAAAGATTCTTATTTGTCCATACCTCTGCCTGTGTTGTCTAATTTCAAACAAGCTTCAAAGTCTACCTTTTGCATCAGACTTTAATTACTATAGTATATTGTTCTCACTCCCTATTCACTGGCCTTCTGATTATATCTATGTCCACAGATACGATATTTGGCACCTGAGTCTATTATTTGATGGACTCTTCACCTTCTTTTGCAGATCCACCCATTGGCTCCTGTTCAATTTACTGTCCCTCCCACTCAGAAATCTTGCCTACTCTCTGACTTTTGTTCCATTTCTCTCTTTCAACATCAACACTCTTTAATGCTGTTCTTTCAACTTTATACATAACTAAAAACAACCTTTGCATTATTAACCTTTAAAAAAAACCCAAACCCTTGCCTGTATTGGCTTTCCAACTAGATTTAATTCAGGAAGATCTGTTTGTCCAAACAGCAAGAGCAGCTGTATCAGAACCACCTTATTTCCACATTAATGAAAAATAAGGGCAATATCCAGTCTGACAACACCTTATGCTCATGTCTTAGGAGGAGTTGGGGTATCATAACAATATCTAGTCTATATTTTGCCAGAATGAAATAGCAAAACCAAACCAAGCCAATAACCAAAAATGCTGTCGGTCTCAAAAATAAACCACGAGTTTCTAATGCATGAAACTCAAGCCTTAGAGAAAGTGCTTGTAAACCGAATTCTGACCCCAGCTTCTTGAAAGGAAGAAACTTGGTTTTCCACAACGAAGCCACAAGATAGCAAAAGTGACAGTTTATTAAAGCAACAGGAGCAACTGAAACCGTTACTCGACTTTTGCAATAGCCAAAACAACCTTGAAAGCATATGCAGAACATCATCCCTAATTTAATTAAATAAAGACATTAAATATGTTTATAAAAATGGAGATACTGGCCAACAGATCCAATAATGAAATATGAACTAGCGCTGACACAATTGGGACTTCCTTTCCCCCTCCTCCCCATGGCAAAAGCTTTTGCATCTTGAACATTAAAAGAATAAAACAGTAAAGGACAGTAGCTTCAATAATGAAAGAGAATACTATAAAATGAGGTAGGTCATTACTTGAGGCAAAGATTTTCCTGCACTATTTTCAATTCTTTCCTACTCAGCCATGTTTTGAAGGGCACAATAAAATTAAAGTAGCTTTTTTTTTGTCGTGTCAGGAGCGACTTGAGAAACTGCAAGTCGCTTCTGGTGTGAGAGATTTGGCCGTCTGCAAGGACGTTGCCCAGGGGACGCCCAGATGATTTGATGTTTTTATCATCCTTGTGGGAGGCTTCTCTCATGTCCCCACTTGGGGAGCTGGAGCTGACAGAAGGAGATCCGCCTCTCCCCGGATTCGAACCTGCGACCTGTCGGTCTTCAGTCCTGCCGGCACAGGGGTTTAACCCACTGCACCACCAGGGGCTCCAATTAAAGTAGCTATGTGTATAACATGGAAACCCTTTTAAATAAACCTTAAGAAAAGATCAGATCAAATCAGATTTTGTTCTTAAAAGTCTGCTCCATGACTAAACAGCCTGCCACTCAAGCCTGAATTTGGCATACAGAGAAAGACTACTGTATAGCACAAGCATATTTCTCCCAGGGCAGGCATGGCAGAATAATAGCATAATAAATAATACTACAAGGAATTCATTGTGCTTCATTAAGCAATTGCAGTAATACTATCTTAGCACACATTCACAGATAATAATCAGGTTGATTAATAAGGTCACATAGACACTTCATGTACTTGATCATGTACTTCAATGTCGAACTGGAGACAACAGCTTTGGAATAGGCATCCTGACATCTTGGAATCATCTATATAAATATTCTAGAGCAGACTTAGGAAAAGCATAAATTTAACAGGGTTCTTTCAAACCTGAGAACTGTTCATCTGGGGCAGTGATTCTCAATCTTCCTAATGCCTCGACCCCTTAAAATAACAGTTCGTCATGTTGTGGTGACCCCCAACCATAAAATTATTTTCATTGCTACTTCATAACTGCAATTTTGCTACTGTTATGAATTCTAATGTAAATATTTGATATGCAGGATGTATTATCATTCACTGGACCAAAACTGGCACAAATACCTGATATGCCCAAATGTGACCACTGGTGGAGTTTGGGGGAAAATAGACCTTGCCATTTGGGAGATGTAGTTGTTGGGATTCATAGTTCACCTACAACCAAAGAGCATTCTGAACTCCACCAATGATACAATGTGGCCAGACTTCCCACACAGAACCCCCATGACAAATAGAAAATACTGTGTTTTCCCATAAACAACAGAAAATACTGGAAGGGGTTGGTGGGCATTGACCTTAAGTTTTGGAGTTGTAGTTCACCTACATCCAGAAAGCACTGTGGACTCAAACAATGATGGATCTGGACCAAACTTGGCACAAATACTCAATATGCCAAATGTGAAGACTGGTGGAGTTTGGAAAAAATAAATCTTGACATTTGGGTGTTGTAGTTGCTGGGATTTATGGTTCACCAACAAAGAGCATTCTGAACCCCACCAATGATACAATCTGGCCAATCTTCCCACACAGAACCCCCATGACAAATAGAAAATACTGCGTTTTCTGATGTTCTTTGACAACTCCTCTGACACCCCCTCGCGACCCCCCCCCCCCCCCCCCGCGGTCCCAACCACCAGGTTGAGAAATGCCGATCTAGGGATATTTAATAGTATACCTATGTGATGCCACCAGTTACCATTTTCAAATTCCTCTTCAAAATCCAGTTTTTCTAGTTAAACCTTTGCCTCAACCTCTCAATCATGGCAACAATGGAGAATCTTTTGTCAGACAAGACCCGAATTCAATTTCAGAATTTTCAGGGGGATTCTACCGGCTGATGGGGCTAAAGCAAATTCTATTTACAACAACAGGTTGTTTCATCATGAAGCATTTACATCCAGTAACAAATGCCCCCATTTAATGCTGTTTCAAACCAGTATTGAAGAAAATGGTTTCATTGTACAGATGATTACATAGGAAATCTGGGAACCAGTTTAAGGCCTAGATGGTGATTACACAAACTACAGAGCACTGATGCACTTTAAGGGGTTTCTTCTGCACATTTCTGTGGGAGTTTGTTGTCTGGCCACACAGTTTGAAGCTAGATTCAAACTGCATTAAATGGTCAGTATAGATGGGACCTAAGATTTAGAAGAGACATTTCTACTTTTTAGAATGGATCAAAACCCAGCAGTTAAGAAGTGATAGCATCACATGGGGGAAGCGACATGGCTTGGAAAACCCAAGAAGATCAGATTGAAACCTGGAGCTTGACATTCCCCACTCATGCCCTAGTATTATGGACACAAATATGGGTAACTGAAATAAATACATATTCCTACTTCCTTTATCTACATTTCCCCACCTTCTCCGTTGTGTTATTTGTCAATTTTACACAACAGACCTCCCCATGGCAGGGATCCATCCTTTTGTAAAGCAATATGTAGCTGCACACACAATATAAAAAACTTCATTTAAGTACTACCTTCAAGACTAAATAAGAAAAATAGATATCTTGCCTATGGGGTTTTTGTTTTTTTTTACTCCAATCTACTTTATCAGATATTGTAACACATTGCTCCATGATAGCTATTATCCAGTCAAAGCCATGATCTCATCTTTAATCAGAGTTGCAATTTAGGGAGCTGTTTTTTTATTTCAAAGATTTCATCTCAAAGAAAATAACTACATCAGGACTTACCACTTCCTTGGTTTCATGTACAAATGCAAAAGTACTACCATGTGAGAAAGAAAACTGCCTGTTAAAATTTAAGCCAATTCATTCTTTCATGAACCTAGGTTTATCATTACCAAATACAAACAAGAAAATATGTCCAGGTTGGATGTTTTTTATCCAACAAGGTTCAAGGGCCGCATTGCAGGCACGCAAAAGCTCCACGGAGAATGCCTGCCCCACAGCGAAAATGATTTACCAAGTCAGATGTTTGTTGCATCAGAAAGGTACAAAGTTAAGTTGTGATGACTAAGGGAAACAGAAAAATTTTGTCGACTCATTCTGTTATGACACACTTTGCAAGTCCAAATAGCACTGCAGCAATTCAGCAATGGATGGGGTTGTTGCTTGGAAAGTGCTGCAGCTCAACATACCTAAAACACTACACAGGTTGATTATCCCTTATCCAAAATGCTTAGGACCAGAAGTGTTCTGTATTTCAGTTTTTTTTTTTGGGGGGGGGGGATTTTGGAATACTTGTATATAAATAATGGCACATCTGAGAAATGAGATGCAAGTCTAAACATGAAACTCGTTTATGTTTCATAGACATCTGATACAAATAGTCTGAAGGTAGTTTTACACACAATATTTTAATAATTTTGTGCATAAAACAAAGCTTATGTACACTGAACTATCAGAAAGCAAAGGTGACACTATCTCAGTAACCCATGTAAGCAATTTTCAAGTATTTGGGAATTTCAGACAAGGGTTGCCTATCCTGTACAACAATATCCAGAATGTAGTGTATCTACAATCAAAAAATAAAGACAGTATCCTTTTCTCAAACAACTCATATACTGACGAAATCCATTTTGAGGGTGCATCTACACTGTAGAATTAATTAAGGATGTTTGGTCCCACTCTAACTTCCATGCTTCAGTGCTATTGTTATCACAGGAACTGTACCAGCATATATTATCAAAACCCATGCATGCATTTCAAAATTAATAAATCACCTTTGATTTTAATTTCAAGATAGTATAGAGGCAGTCCCAGAGTTACAAACATAGGCTTTACAAACAACTCATAGTTTAAAATGGGAGTGAGACAATGGGAAGTGAGAGAAATCTATCCTTAGGGAGGAAAATTCACTTCTGGAAGAGTTTTCATGGGGAAAAGGTGTTTCCACTGAAGCTTTATCACCAAGTCTTGTTTCCACAAAAGGCCATTTTTTCAAAACCCAATTATCACAGGAATAGAAGTGAGGTGAAATCTTCTGAACAGGGGCACAGACAGGAAAACAAAAACCACAGGAGTGTTAACCCTTCCCTATGCTATCCAAAGCTTATACACACACACATACATGGCTGGAGTTACATTTAAAAATGTACCTGTTCTGACTTATATGCACATTCAGCTTAAGAACAAACCAACAGAACCTAACTTGTCTGTAACTTGGGAGACTGCCTGTAGTTTGGTGAGGCATCAGCACTATTTTCCAGAGACTTCTGGCCCATACTATGGGGCCATAGCAATTAAAGTGTCAAACCGCATTAATTCTAGTGTTACAAATTCTGTGTACACTGAAGTGTCCGAGGCCCCTTCCACACAGATGAATAAAATCCCACATTTTCTGCTTTGACCTGGAATATATGGCCGTGTGGACTCAGACAACCCAGTTCAAAGCAGATATTGTGGGATTTTCTGCCTTGATATTCTGGGTTATATGGCTGTGTGGAAGGGCCCTGAAAGCAAAAATGTCATTATCATTGCCACTTCTGTGGACAATTATGGAGGATCTTGGAATTCTGGATAAGTGATGTCCAAAAGCATCCAAAATTTAGTGTGTCAAAAAACCAAAAATAAAGGCATTATTATTTTCTAGATTAATATGGACATTTGGGACATCTATTTTGAGGGTCCTTTCACACAGCCACATATCCCAGAATATCATGGTACAAAATACCACAATATCTGCTCTGAACTGCATTATCTGAGTCCACACTGCCATATATTCCAGTTCAGAGATAATGTGAGATTTTATTCAGCTGTGTGGAAGGGGCTTGGTTTATCTGAGTCCACAGTACCATATATTCCAATTCAAAGCAGATATTGTGGGCTTTTCTGCCATGGAGCCCTTCCACACAGCCATATAACCCAGAATATCTGCTTTGAACTGGGATATCTGAGTTTACACTCAGATAATGTGGTATTTTCTGCCTTGATATTCTGGGATATAGGGCTGTGTGGATGTTCTCGGTTATATGGCTGTGTGGAAAGGCCCCTGGAATAACAAGGCAAAAAATCCCACAATATCTGCTTTGAAGTGTGTTATCTGAGGTCCCTTTCACAAAGCTGAATAAAATCTCACATTATCAACTTTGAACTGGGATATATGGCAGTGTGGATTCTGAGAACCCAGTTCAAAGAAGATACTTTGGGTTATTCTGCCTTGATATTCTGGGTTATATGGCTGTGTGGAAGGGCCCTGAGTCCACACTATGATATATTCCAGTTCAAAGCAGATAATGTGGGATTTCATTCAGCTGTGTGGAGGGGGCCCCAGTCCAAAGCAGATAATGTGGGATTTTCTGCCCTGATGTTCTCGGTTATATGGCTGTGTGGAAGGAGCCTGAGGTAGATTATTAAAAAATATAAACCAATTATCCTTTGAATGCAACAGGCTGCAGAGTAAGGAGTTGAGGGGAAAGAATGAATCTATTTCTATTGGAAGAAGAGGGCCAACATCCAGTATACAGAAGGAAAAGAGTGCCACCAATGCTAAGGGTAAGTCTGCACTTGAGAATTAATGCAGTTTGACACCGCTTTGCCTGCCATGGGTCAATGATGTTGAATCCTGAGAGTCTGGTGAGGCGGCAGAGAAGGAGAAAGACGTGGCAAACGACAATCCCCAGGAATCCACAGCCCTGAGCGATGGCAGTGGAAGTAGTGTGCTGAGCAGGCCTGGGCCAACTTGTGCTCTCCAGGGGTTTTGGACTTCAACTCCCACAATTCCTAACAGCCTACCGGCTGTTAGGAATTGTGGGAGTTGAAGTCCAAAACCCCTGGAGGGCCCAAGTTGGCCCAGGCCTGCTCTAGAGTGGCATTCAGAGGTGAGGGAAAGAGCCGAAAGAGGCGCAGGTCCCTCAGGAGCACCGCCAAGCCGCCCAACTCACCGCTTTGTCAAAGCCTTCTGCCTTCCACATCTCGCCGGTCCCGCGTCGCACGTCAGCGCCTCGCGCGTGACGTCATCAAACTTCCTCCCTCCCTCATTTCCCCGCGACGCCCGGTTTCCATAGCAACGCGTCGCCTGGAAGGGAAAGGAAGAGCGCGCGCGAGAGGCAACATGAAGGGGAAAGGGAAAGCCAAAGGCGCGAAGGGCGGGAAGTAGGTAACCCAGCGTCGCCACGGCAACGGGGCCTAGGAGTGGGTTTCATGGAGGGCTCACGGCCCGTGGCTTCTCTCGTCCCGCAGGGGCAAGAAGGGCGCCGCCGGCCCCGCCAGCAACAAGGCCAAGGATGCCAAGAGCCTGAAGGAAGAGTCGGAGGCCGAGCGGGCCAAAATCGCGGCGGCGCTGTGGGAGGCGCGGCTGGAGGTGACCGAGATCTCCCGCAAGGAGTACCGCGATGCCTCCCGGCGCCTGGCCCGCAGCAACGAGGAGCTGGAGCAGAGGGCGAGGCGGCTGGAGAAGGACGCCGTGGACGTGCTCAGCTTCCTCAAAAAACAGGATCTGGAGAAGGACGACATGGTAGGTAGGGGTCGCCGGGCTTAAGGCAATTTTGGCTTCCAGTTGTTAAAGACTGTGCAGGTACAGCTGTACCAGGAGCTCCAGTTTTGTTTGCTTTGCATTGAATGGTTGTTGTAGCCCCAAGTTTCAGGGACTCTGCAGACAGGTGGCTTCTTTTGGCTGCAATCATAGGGCAAGCCACCTGTCAATTATAGTTAGGTTCTCTGGTCCTGTCCCTTTTTGGGGTTTTGGAGGGAATAGGAGCCTTTTTTGGATCAGTCCACACAGAGAAGCCTTTCACGCAGGACATAATACCAAGAGCTCCTGTAGAAAGCTTCACCTTCTACGGCTTGGCCGGGGAGATACAGCCCCACAGCTTGGCCGGAAGATATACAGCCTTACAGCTCCTTTGCTGAGGGACTTCAGTCAGCCATCACTGAAACCTGAACTCTTTTTCCCCTGGAAGTCTACAAAGCTCTGCTTGGTAAGGGTCACTTGCGGAAGCCAGAAGCAGTTGGTACTGGGTGCAGGGGCTCCACGCCAACAGAGGCAAAGACAGACTGCCCAGATTAGAAGTTAAGGATTTCCCCATTAGCTAATATACAGTTATGAAGATAGTGCCTGTTCCCTGTGGACAAGATTGAGAGAGAGCCAATAGACTGTTAAGAAAGCCTTAAAGTACCTGTTTGTTTTCATCAATAAAGAACTTTGTTGAACTTTTAAGCAATCTAAAGACTCTGTTTTAAGGAAATCCAAGGGCCTTTAATCTGAGGCAGCCCCGGCGTCCCGTTGGGCACACGGAATTTATGTCCTGTCTACAGTCTTATGCACAGGCCCAGTGTTACAGCACAAAGACAGATAACATATTTTTGTCTCTGATCTGTTAGAAACAGAGATTATGCCAATTCACAAAATATAGCAGTTCTTCACAAGTGTTTTTTCAGTGCCCAAAAACATTATACTCTCCCATAAAGCATCTTGTTTCTGTATCATGCTCTCACGAGACAAAAATAAAGTAGACATCGTTAAAAGTAACATATTTAGTTTATTCACAACTTTCATATATTCAGCATATTCATATATTCCAGAGGAACAGTAGACATGATCTTCACTGCATGGCAGCTCCAAGAAAAAAGCAGGGAACAAAATCAACCTCTGTACATTGACCTCGCAAAGGCATTCAACACAGTGACTCGCAACACTCTCTGGACCATCCTCCAAACCGCTTGAGCTCTTCGAGTGCAGCATTTTCCCGAATGAAGCAGAGTGTGTTTGAGGACCGAGACATCCGTAGGGATACCAAGGTGCTTGTTTATAAAGCTATTGTCCTCCCAACCCTGCTATATGCCTGCAAAACATGGACTGTCTACAGACGTCACATGCAACTCCTAGAACGATTCCATCAGCGCTGCCTCTGGAAAATCCTGCAAATCTCTTGGGAAGACAGGCAGACAAACATCAGTGTGCTGGAAGAAGCAAAGACCACCAGCATTGAAGCGATGGTCCTCCGCCATCAACTCTGGCCACGTTATCCGGATGCCTGACCACCGTCTCCCAAAGCAGTTGCTCTGCTCTGAACTCAAGAATGGAAAATGGAATATTGGTGGACAGGAAAAGAGATTTAAAGATGGGCTCAAAGCTAACGTTAAAAACTCTGGCATAGACACTGAAAACTGAGAAGCCCTGGCCTGTGAGTGCTCCAGCTGGAGATCAGCTGTGACCAGCAGTGCTGCAGAATTTGAAGAGGCACGAATGGAGGACGAAAGAGAGAAACGTGCCAAGAGGAAGGCGCGTCAAGCCAACCCCGACCGGGACCGCCTTCCACCTGGAAAGCAATGCCCTCACTGTGGGAGACGATGCAGATCAAGAATAGGACTCCACAGTCACCTACAAACCCACCCTGGAGGAATATCCTACTCGGACAACAAGAGATCACCTAAGTAAGTAAGCATATAACTTGTCAATCCTGGAGGCAACTGTGATGGCCATCTCTGCTAAGACAAGGGTACATTGTCTGAGACATTAAACTGTATTACTACTTATCCAAGGAACAGCAAGGCAGATATGCACTATTATGCACTCATCTTGGGAGGAGATCCTCAGTGAAGTGTCTAAAATAACAGACCAAAACACTGTTGCACTCTGTTTCTTCTGTCTGGTAGCCTGTTTGAAAATTGCAGCTGCTTTGAAGAAGGATCAAGAAGATTTCTGCAAACTAATAATAGAAAAGCCATTTATTAGGGGCTAGTATTAATAAAATATATACAGGCAGCTTTCTATGATGTTTATCAATTACATGAGTTATAACAAGCTAACTGATGGAAAACTGTGGGAAAATATTCTAGGTGGATGTTGAAATATCTGTTATTATAAAGAAAACTTTTAATATTTTTTTAAAAAAATCTCAAGGGAGATATTAGTGTTTCCAAATTTGCAATGCTTAAACATGTACAATGTATATGGTTCTGAATTCTAGGAATAATTCCTCTGGTTTCTGGAATTTGGAGAAACTATTTTCAAATAGTAACTTCATGGCAACCAATCATATACAGAGTACTTTTTATTCACCTTTTAATGAAGTTTGTTAGTCTGGAACAAGCCCGAGATGTAGTTACTGAACTTTTCCATCTGCTAACAAAATAACATGACCATGATTTCTCTTAACTTTATTTTTTTGATATATAGATTGACAAGCTTAAGCAGCAACTGATTGATATGAAGCAAAAAGCCAAAGAAGAAAATGAAGAACTGGTGAATTGACATTTCTTCTGACATGTAGCTCTGGGTAACCTGTATCTCTGATGATCCAATTAAATTCATTGGGGTTGGGCTTCACAGATAAATATAATAAACACTACTTTTAAATAAACATACAAACCCTTCTTTTTAAGGTCCTCTCTTGCCTCATTACAGAGAGACTAAGTTGCCCTTAACTGCTTTTTTGTCTTTACTTTGCTAGGAAAATGGAAACGTGTAAGATCGAAAGTATGGTAATGATTACTTTATAGCAATAAACCAGAGCTTCACACTTTACTTGGGAATAAGTTGTATTTGACTCTGAGACTTACTTTTGAGTAAATACATCTAAATTCAGATTGTAAGAGAGATTTAATCCTTACCACTAGTTGGTTGATGCAGCTGGAGATAGAACTGATATATTGCTTTGAAGCTTCATTTAGTGATTCTTTAGCACTTTAGTGGTAGTTTTTAATCTGTTGGTGGCCTTTTTATGTTATTTCCCCTACACTATTTTGCGTGTTAAGTTGATGCTACAGTACCTTTCCCTCATTAGTCTTTACCTCCAGCTATGCCTCTTAACTTTTTTAAAATTCTTAACTTGGAAATTTCTAAAATGCAAAAAAATTGCAGGAAGCACAGTATATCAAACAGCTAGAGGAAATGGAAGAGAAATTCCACAAAAAAGCTAAGGAAATTGGTCTAATTCAAATTGAGCTGAAAATGATAAAGGAATTCCGCAAAAAGAAAGACCTTATGGAGAAAGAACTTGAAGAGGTAAGTAAATTATTGGTGTTTGAGAAGCTAGAATTTCGTATTTTCCACCCTGCACAAGCAAAAGGATACCAGAAGGCATGCACATGTTTGTTGACTTTCTCGACATGACCATATCATAGATTCCCTGGCCATAGCAGGGGTAGGAGTGTCTAGCCAGTGCTGCAGCTGAGAACCTGACTTTGTATCCATCTCACCTCCCTTAGTATGGCTAGTTTTAGAGATATGGAGGGCCCCCTAGCAAAATACACATGCACTCAGGCATCATCTGCAGAATCATTCCTGCAGTCAGCACTTGAGTCTGGAAAGATCATGAGGCAGGGAAATTGTAGCTGACTCCAAGTGCAGGCAGCAGAAACTTTCTTGCAACCATCACAGGATCTGTGATATTTCCCCCACCATACAGATGAAGATTTCTGCTGTTTTCTCTGAGCAGTGATTCCTGATTATGCACCTGGCCTTTCTAATATAAAATGTTTTTGTAGTGTCTTTACAGTCCGGATAGAACCATGGATTCTCTTCCTCTCACCTATTATATTAACCTTTAGCAGGCTCCTGTGCATATTCCTTGTTGTACACTGCCAAAATGCGACTCTGTAATGGAGCTTTGAGATATAGGATCAGAATTATCCTATTTAATCTAATGCTCACCTTTTTTGGCTAAATTACTTCGCAAAAATTAGGATGCACATTAAAGCTGCATAATATTATCATCTTAGTGCTGAGCCAAAGCAAAAGGGAAAGGTGCTTCAGGAACTGCACCTGGAATTCCTCTTTGAGGGACCTCATCTCTAATTTAATTGCCATGGCTCAATGCTATGCAATGCTGGGATTTGCAGTTTGTTGAGGCATCAGCATTTTTTGGCAGCCCACATGATCAAAAACTGCAGCTCCCATGACATTGAGCCAGGGCACCTAAAGTGGATTCATTCTACAGCAGTAGTTCTCAACCTGTGGATCCCCAGATGTTTTAATCTACTACTCCCAGAAATCCCAGCTAGTTAGGATTTCTGGGAGTTTAAGGCCAAAACATTTGGGAACCCACAGGTTGAGAACCACTGTTCTACAGCATAGATTCACACCAAGGTTTTCTTTTCTATTGCTGTCAGCTTTGGTGTTGTAACACTTTAGTTTTTAAAGAAGGAATAATGAGCAGTCAGCCACTGTAATGCACATCTTTTTTGGCCAAATTGCAAAAAGTGTACTTTTTGCCTCTGTACATTACATTCGGCAGCAAATACTTCTTTGGTTTTAGGTTTGGAAAATTGAGGTGCACATTAGGTGCACTAGATTTGAGTAAATACAGGTAACTTCAAATCAAAGGGGGTAGAAATACATTTATTATGAGAAAAACCCTAGTAGGTGAATCTAATATTTGGATGTATAGCTAAATTACATTTTAGTAGAAATCAGATCATTAGAGAAGTGTAAAAAGAAATGCATGTAGTATAAAATAAGTTATAACACGCATTTCAAAAGGTAATTGGGTGTAGATTTTTAACAGTACAAATAATTTGAGGAAGAAGAAAATCTGTGTCAAGATGGGCCACAGGGCTTATGCTGTAATGAAACACTATCTACAGTGTGTACACTAGTGGATAAAAATGCAGAAGGTTGAGAGTAAACTCTAAAAGAGAATGGAACTGAACAGATGAAAAGCTAACACATGGGAGGAGAAAAAGTGGGTGAGGAAAGAGTTGACATGAGCAGGGATTTTTAGAGAGAACTTTCTTTGAATTGCTCTTTAGATTGCTAAAATAATAATTGACTGCTTTTTGAAATTTTAGCTAAAAGAAACTTTGGTTAACATAAAAAAAGAACACCAGGAAACAATCTCTGTGTTGGAGAGGAAGTTCCTTGAAGAAAAGGTACAGTATTTCAATGCTGCTTTCGTGTGCATGATCCTTCCAGTTCATAATGAGTAAATCTGACTTTTCTAAAATCTTTGCACAGTAGTAATAATGGAGGAAGCCTAAGTGAGATAAATATCACCACTTCTAGGAAAACAACTCTGAACCTCCTGAATTTGTATTAGGAAGACAAATAAGAATCTTTCCTGATCTATCCAAACTTTTGATTTTCAACATTTACAGTGATCTCTTTTGTTTTCTTCTGGAAAACAGAGTAATGACAAACACTTTCTCCACATATTTTTGAAAGCTAAAAACTGTTTTGTATCTAGCTTTATTTCAAAATCTTATTTTCTTTCTCTCTTCTAGCAACGCCTTGAAAGAGAAGCAGAGAAGAAGATTATAATGCTGGCAGAACGGGCCCATCATGAAGCCATTGTGTAAGGGCTGATTTCTTTGTTCCTTAATCATGGATGTTAAAATACAGTGAATTATATGAAATCTCGATGCTTCATTCCTGATAAGTAAATATAATTCTACACATAATGCAATTCTAAAGCATTCCATAACATTGTTTCTATTAACTCATGCTGGATCTACAAACTGTAGATCCAAACGTCTGAACCATTAATATAGGAAGTTTGTGGTATCAAGTGCTAAACTGCCTTTGCCTTTATTCAGGCAGCTGGATAATGCCGGGAAAGCAGTTTTTATAGAAAATGTTCGTCTTCATGAAGCCCTTGGATACCACATGAAGGAAACAGAAGAGTTACAGAAAATGAAGCAAAAACTGGAGGAGGACAACGCCTTTCTTTTGCAGGAGAAGGTTCTTCCTATTACTACTTCCACTTGTACAGGTTTACATTTAAAGGGTAAAATCACTGATATGCTGAGGTGTTTGGAAAGCTGAGGCTCTTGTTCTATTATGTGAGGGTGCTTTCAGACTTAACTTAAACATGTATTGAAGCGGGTTTAAAAAATCCGATTTTGTGCAGGTTTAAGTCTGCACACCTACCCCCAAGCCAGGGCTTTCCCAGGGGCTGTCCCCATTCCAGCATGATAACTCCCGTGCTGGAATGGGGTGACCCCAACCCCTTCCTCCAAAAAAGCCTTAACATAAAACTTACTTCCTGGACCATACCAATGAATCACCAGGAGGCGGGGGTGCCCAGGAACAATCCCCCCTCCGCCTCCTGGTATGTCAAGGGTACAGTCCAGGAGGCTCCAGAGCGGCCTAATGGCAGCATGGTTAGGTTTTCTTTTATTTTAAGTTTTGGGGTGGGGGGGGGGGGGTCCAAAGAAGAAATTGAGCTGTGGGGACAGACTACTGGCATTGCGGATTTGTGACAAAGCAGGCTTATTTATTTATTTACAACATTTATTTACTGCCCTTCTCACCCCAAAGGGGACTCAAAGCGGTTTACAAGTTATATGTACATACAATATATTATATTATTAGCATAGCACAATATTAGTAATATATGTATGTATGTATGCATGTATGTATGAAGCAGGGTTTACCTGCTTTGTCACTAATTACTTCATTTTTACTTGAAGCATCATTAGGACACCTCAGGTAAAAATCCTTCAGGGCCCAGGAAGTGCCCTAAGTCAGAATGGCTTTCTTCTGGAAATAACATCACATAATCATTTACTGAAGACCCCATCCAAAATGTATTGTATTCCTTATTTGGAAAAACAAGTATGTATACAATATTTATGAGAGAAAAATAGATAAAACCATAAAATTAGACTAAATCCCATAAATTTAGTCTAAAAATCCCATAAATAGTGTAGAAGGCATAAGTTTAATACTACTGTTACTACTAGTAGTAATAATAATAATAATTTTCTATTCATATGAATTCTGCCTTTTTTCCAGTCCTGACATCCGAATTTGAATTGGCTTGAGCACTTACCGTTACAATTGCCTCCAAACTAGAAAGGAAAATGTCCAGTGCTGTGGCTGAGACAAATAATGGCATTGTACAGTAGTTTAGTTGATTGAACTGTTATAAACTGTTGTTGGATTATCAAGTAACTTTTTTGTTTTGTTTTTAAGGAAACCAATGATCTTTTGGTTCGGGAAAAAATAATTCAAAATACTGAACAAAAAGCACAGATCCAGGAGCTGGAAAACAGGGTGAAAAAACTGGAAGCTGCAGTTAGTCACATGGCCAGGGAATTTAAAATAGAACTTGAGAATGCTCAACACAAAGCTTTAGTACAGAATCAAGCCGGCCAGATAGAAATTAACAAATTGCAACACCTGCTGGAGATGAAGGACAGAGAGATGAGCAGGGTGAAGAAACTGGCCAGGAATATCTTGGATGAAAGGACTGAGGTGGAGAAGTTCTTCTTACATGCCCTGGGCCAGGTGAAACAGGAGATCATAACCAGCAGGAAGTGTTATAAGCAAGTGGCTCAAGCTGCATATCAGAGAAGAATGATGGCAGCATTTGCCGGGAGAGAAGAATATCCCAAGATCAGAACCTTTAATGACAATGAACACAGCACAAATAGTGTGCAAATGGACCTTATGGAAGCAGAGAAATGGTATATGTGATTGAACTGCAAGTTTTATTTTTTGTTTACTGTGACGTAGATGCAGAAATGATGTACAGCTGCTAGTGAAATTATATATATAAGCTTGGGATGTCTTGGGGTAGGGGAATGAATGGATCAGTATTGTACAGATTACACAAGAGATGGGAGATTTGTCTGATGCTGAAAAGACAGAACTGAAAATAAATGTGGACCTTATTCATTCATTCCTTACTCTTTTCCAGTCAAGAGATGAAGATGAAAGGGCCTATTCCTTTCCCCCATCATTGTTTAATGAAGTTGAAAGCATTTGAAAAGAATAATTGATTAAATGGTTGTACTCTAGTTAGACTAACAAAAGGTCCACATTTATAATGAGGTGCATTACTTCTAGTCTGAAGTATCGATTACCTTATTGACAGTTCCCTATACTGACAGCCTTTATGGAATAGTTCTGTACCCCAGTTTGGGAATTTATTTATCGTGTCAGAAGCAAGTTGAGGGTACAATTATAATGTATTTAAAAACACAAACAAACTTAACAACTTGGCATTATACTAAATGTCTTTTGACCAGAAGCTGGCCACTTGGAGTGCCTCTGGTGTTGCTGTAAGAAGGTGCATGTGGCAGGGCTCAGGTTGCATTGTAGTAAGTAGTCTGTGGTTTGCTCTTCTCTACCCTCGTATGTTGTGGACTCCCACATAGGGTATAATTCATAATTCATTCACATTCAAGTACAATTGTCTTCCAAGGGTAAAATCTTGGCACTGGGTCCATAAGTGACTGTGGAGATCTATTCCCAATCCATATGGTGTTTCCAATGGAATTGAAAGAATTGAGTTCTTTCTGTTTTCTCTACATGCATATTTTAAGGTATCTTGGATTCTTTATGTATACTAATGGGATAGCCAAAACGAAGCACATTATTCCAGATGAATAACCACATTCTCTTCATACAGTTTAATGTATTGTGTTCCTTCTTCTATGAAGTAATTCAATCCGTTGCTACTCTAAGATTTTGTAATCAAATGAAATTTGGGAAAACCAAGAATTTTTAATGAAAATTCTTTTGTAAGTGTCCAGATAATTGCAAATGTATGCAGGTAAATTATGGGGTTTTTTTTTGTTTTCTGTAGGACGAATATTCAGAAGGGGAAGGTGGACATCTCTGAATTGACTTGGGAGCAGAAGGAGAGTGTGTTGCGATTACTCTTTGCAAAAATGAATGGCATGAGACTACGGTAAAGTCCTGTTTATTACATCCAGTGTTGTGATGGATGCCTTTTTTCTATTGCCCAGCAGACTATAAAAAGTTATAAATGGTTTAAATACTTACTGGGAATGGAGAAATGCTTGTCTGAGTTTTAGTAGTACTGATAGTAGAACTAGTGATTTTTTTCATGGGTATTTTGAGGTGTCAAATAGAACATTTCAATCTAAGAGCTGAGTTTCAGACAAACAGGAGTCCAGAAATTTGAAACAGATTGGCACTGTTCTTTCTCAGCCCCCATAAGAAGTAAAATATAAAAATGGAAAAACAGAATTGATCTTTTGTACAGATTGAAAATGTTTTTAAAGACCTTAGTAGCAAACCTTGATCTTGCCATTTTATATAATGAACACCATCTTACTAAGGCATTGTACATAATGGGATTTGACTATCCAGTTGTTTGTATAGATCGTTTCCAATTGGGTTTGTTTCCAGGACTCCCTAAGGGCCACACTGTAATAGTGTAATAGAATATGACCCACAAATTGAGCATTTCTCCTGCTTTTTTGTGTTATAGGAAATATGGCAAAGCTTTGGTTCCTCTAATGCCATCCACTCATTCTGAAGAAACAAAAGTCAGGTAAGTGATGACATGGCTGTAGTAATCTTGTTTCTTGCAGCATTTGAGTGTCCTAATAATCTAAAAAACACTTCTAAGGGACTTATTTTCTTTTCTTTTTTTAAATGGTATTTTTGACTAAACTATGAAGAGAGTAATTGCTAGATGGACTCAAAATAGATCTGGTTAGTTGCATGGCTCAAGAAGTAAACCATACCAGCCTGAGGAACATTCATACTCCCATCAGCTTTCACCTTGCTACATAATGTAAGATGTCCTACATTCTAAGTTAAAGCAGACATGGGGAAATGCCTGCATAAGTTATAAACGCACTCATTTTCCAAGTTGTATGAGCAATCTGTCCCAAGGTCTGCTGAGCTACTATAACATTAGTGCAGCCTTGATGGTGTTTGTATAGTAAGGTGTGTGGCAATGGTCCAGAAATGTCTCACAAATAGCTATGATACCATTTTAGTTCTGGTCACAGAAAGTAACATCTACTGTGGCATCTAAAGTAAAATTTTAAACACCATGCAATAAATACCCATGCAATGTTATACCCATCAAGCCTAGTTTGAGATATTGTATGTGGACTAGCACATCTCTGAAATGTCTTCACAATTCCATATATTTGCTTACTATAATGTGTGGCTTTAAGCACAGATTGCACCTCTTTCTTGTCAAATACCTGTGTGTTCCAAATCACCAGGTGCTAGTACAAAGTTTTAAAAAGTATATGCATCTGCTAAAATGGGAGGCTGATAAAACCAAGGAAATGCACAGTATTTAGGTATGGGTCACTGCCTTTTGGAAGTTTCATACACACTTCATTTTCTTAGTGGTTTTCATTTCAAACAAACAAACTCTTTTATATTTATATAAACGATTAAATATAAAGCCATTTTGTTATTAGGTTCTTGTGGGTTTTTTCGGGCTATAGAGCCATGTTCTAGAGGCATTTCTCCTGACGTTTCGCCTGCATCTATGGCAAGCATCCTCAGAGGGAGTGAGGTCTGTTGGAATTAGGACAATGGGTTTATATATCTGTGGAATGGCTGGGGTGGGGCAAGGAGCTCTTGCCCCACCCCAGCAGCAGCAGGGAAGAGCTCCTTGCCCCACCCCAGCCATTCCACAGATATATAAACCCATTGTCCTAATTCCAACAGACCTCACTACCTCTGAGGATGCTTGCCATAGATGCAGGCGAAACGTCAGGAGAAATGCCTCTAGAACATGGCTCTATAGCCCGAAAAAACCCACAAGAACCTAGTGATTCCAGCCATGAAAGCCTTCGACAATACATTTTGTTATTGTTGAATGCTCTGAAAGTGAGGGAGAGGAACCAAAGTTAATTTATTCACAGGATGTCTTAATGAAGAGAACAAATTTCAGAATGGCAACACTTCAAATTATTTCTAGCAGAACCATTACATCTGTATTTAAACATTTGTTAAGGAGCTTTGAAAATTTGGACTATCTATAACTATCAGCAATATTTTGGTTCAGACAATTAACTGTTAGGATTCACCTACACTGTAGAACAGGCATGGGCAAACTTTGGCCCTCCAGGTGTTTTGGACTTCAACTCCCACAATTCCTAACAGCCAGTAAACTGGCTGGGATTTCTGGGAGTTGAAGTTCAAAACACCTGGAGGGCTGAAGTCTGCCCATGCTCACTGTAGAATGAACACAGTTTGTCAGCACTTTAACTGTCCTAGTTCAATGTTGTGGAATCCTAGGATTTGTAGTTTGGTGATGCACGAGCACTCTTTTGCAGGGAAGGCTAGAGACTTTGTAAAACTACAACCCCTGTGTATCAAGAGCTATAGCCCCGTTATCATAAAACATTAAAATTTTTTAGCACAATTGGAATGGTAGGTATAACATTCAGAGTCAAAAGGTTTGGGTTATCTCTATAAATGTGTGTGTTTTAGAAATTTTCTGATTTATTTTTCCATTGCAGCACTGCTGGTCTGATCCCTGTCTATGCTTTCATCACTCAGCAAGCCCCTGTGTCAGAGTCAGCCTCTCAGAGAAGACCATCAGTCCTTCCAGATATCCAGGTTATACCACCGCAGTCAGACTAAGATTGCTGTTAATCATGAAAGAACTGTAGTAAAAATGTTTACACTTCCTCTTTGGGGCTGTATATTATTATGCTGCTACTATGACATTGCCTCCTTTTCTATGCAACAAAAGTTACTTCAGTTCTTTCAGATTATCTTCAAAGGCATCCCTATTCTAAAGAACATCATTTATGGTCAGATATCTTTTTTCAGAAATGGAAACATTTTCCATAGTGATACATTTCCTCAATTGTTCAGAGAACTTGCACTGTATTTTGATGTTTAAAAACTGAGTGAAATACAATCCAATTCTATAAAAGTGTTTTAAATAAAGCAATAAATTATGACAAGTTCTTGGTGGTATGGGGATACCAAATCACCTTGTCTGTCTCCTGGAATCTGTATAATGACCAAGCAGCATCAGTAAGAACTGACCATGAAACAACAGACTGGTTCAGGATTAGGAAAGGCATCCAGCAGGGTTGTATACTCTCACCTAAGCTATTCAACTTGTATGCAGAACACATCATGCAATGTGCGGGGCTTGACGAATGCAAGGCTGGCGTTGAAATTGCTGGAAGAAACATTAACAACCTTAGATATGCAGATGATACCACTTTGATGGCCAAAAGCAAGGAAGAGCTGAGGAGCCTTCTAATCAAGGTGAAAGAAGAAAGTGCAAAAGCTGGGTCAAAAAACCGAAGATTCTGGCAACCAGAATGATTGATAACTGGCAAATAGAGGGAGAAAACAGAGGTAGTGGCAAACTTTGTATTTCTAGGTGCAAAGATTACTGCAGACACAGACTGCCGCCAAGAAATCAGGAGATGCTTACTTCTTGGGAGGAGAGCAATGTTCAATCTCGATAAAATAGTGAAGAGTAGAGACATCACACTGGCAACAAAGTTCCGCATAATTAAAGCAATGGTGTTCCCTGTAGTAACCTATGGATGTGAGAGCTAGACCATAGGGAAGGCTGAGTGAAGGAAGATAGATGCTTTTGAACTGTGGTGTTGGAGGACAATTCTGAGAGTGCCTTGGACCGTGAGAAGATCCAACCAGTCCATACTCTAGGAAATAATGCCCAACTGCTCATTGGAGGGAAAGATATTAGAGGCAAAGATGAAGTACTGGATGGTATCCTTGAAGTGATGGCTTGACTCTGAAGGAGCTGGGGGCGGTGATGGCTGACAGGGAGCTGTGGCATGGGCTGGTCTATGAGGTCACGAAGAGTCGGAAGTGACTGAACAAATAACAAGTGTGAAAGATGGTAGAATGGGAAATGATATTGTGGTTTTATTATACGCTACATTGATATGTAGCTCTAAATACTTGATTTAATTTAAGTTCAGTTAATCTAGCCGCCTCTCAGGTTTGTGCAGGGGAAAGCTTTTGTTTTTCCTTAAAGGCAGCATAGTATTTGTCAAAAGCATGGATCATTTAATACTGCTGTTTCCCCAAAAGCTGACAGGAATCTGCTGTTTTTCTTTTTAAAAGGTTACTTTTAAACAATTGCCATTTTATATAAAAGGAACAAGGCACATTTGAGAGAAATGAAGATCAAACTTATTCCCAGAAGTACATTAAGACAGTGGAAAAGCACAAGTACAGGGAGAAATAAGCCTTCATTATATAGTTCCACTCATAGTTCAGCTTTATGTACTAATATACCAATTTAATAATTTGAAAAAAATGGTCCAAAAGAACTAACAGTATTGTATTATATACTGATGAAGATAGGCAAGTGTCTTCATTTAACAGCGATTTTATTCATGATTAACAGCAGTGTGAAATTATCTAGTATATGGATGAATAACCATTTCAGCAAAGGTTCATATTTCATTTAAGTACTTGCTGCTTACAAAACAGAGACTGTTAAAGGAAACCAATCTTCTTGATTATATGGTGAAGGAAATACTTTTGAGTCTTTCAAAACTGTTAAAACCTTTGTGGACTGTAAAGTTGCACCGCTGTATCCTTCATTCTGCTGACGCATGACTTTGTCCATCACATCTAGCTAATTCAATACATACCACCCTTTGTTGTTCAGTCCAGCACTTCTATCTTAAACCATATATGTAATTGCTGTATATAGGATGACAAACTTGCCTGTGCGTAGTACTAGAATTTTTATTTTCCCACTTACATTTTTGCACTGGGAAGCAATATCCCAGTTAAAGGGGTGTTGAGAAAAGAAACTGCTTTAAAAAATGCTGCCTAGCATCCAAGAAACTATTCACACTCATTCTTCTTGTAAAAAAATATTCAGTGCAAAAATAGTATGTAGGCACATCTCTTCATTTGGAACTGAAGTTATTGTACCACTTCCATGTTTGTTGGAAAGTAATATTCTAACGAAGGTGCAGTTTTGCTAACTCTTCAAGACCTAGAACTTGGAACAGCTTTTTGTTGCATGTGAAAATCTTTAAAACACTCATTTAGTTGAATTTGCTTTTCAGTCCTGTTATAAGAAACTCAGATTCTTTAATTCCCTAGAGTTCCTTGGGGAAGAATTGAGAAAGTCAATTAAAACCAGATATTTAAGTTATAAAACCAATGACATTAGCAACTGCAGGATCTGGTGCTCAAAAACACACATTCCATGGAATACAGATTGTGGATTCTCAACAGCATGAATGGGGCAAAAAAATATATCTGATTTTCCTTTACCTGATGACTCACAACTGAGTATTTCCTCTACAAGAAAAATGAAATTGATTAGCTGATAAAAGAAAAAAAAATGTGTTAAAGGATGTTGGCCAGTCTGATTTTAGATAAAGGGCCCATCATGTAGGGCCTTCGTACTGCCAAGGGCAACATGGAACGTCCAAGAATAATAGACCAGCAATACTTTCAACAGCAACTCTTAACAAGTACAACAAGCTGCTTTAGTTTCCCATGGTTGGCATTACTACAGCAGGTTTGGCAACAGTGGCATCTTCTTCTTTCCACTGAGAAGTGATTGTCTTCAACTGTGTATAGAACTGCACGCCCTGAGGAGGAAGACAGAGTTCAGTATCAAGCTCCAAGATTAAAACCAACATTTACTAGGTATATAGAATCACAGCAACTTTAGAGGCAAAATAAGCTGCTCCTTACAAGTATGGGCAGTATCCGAGTTACAAACAACTTGTTGTTAAGAACGGGGGTGAGACAACAGGGTAAATTCACGCCTGAAAGAGTTATCATGGGAAAAAGGTGTTTCCACAACAAGCCATTTTTTTCAAAATCCCAATTATCAAAGGGACAGAAAGTGTGGTGAAATCTTCTGAAAAGGGACACAGATAGCAAAGGAAACACCACAGAGGTGTTAACCCTTCCCTATGCTATCCAAAGCTTAGACACACACACAGAGCTGGAGTTACACTTAAAAATGTACCTCTTCCATCTTAAGAACAAACCTACAGAACCTATCTTGTTTGTAACTTGGGGACTGCGTGTACTTGATTTATCAGAAATACAAAATGTTGTTAAGCCTATTCTCATCCAAGTATCTCAAACATGGCTTTTATGTTCTTTTTTGTCAATTAAAACAGGTGTTCATAGTAACATACACACATTTTTAAAAGTCTGAAATATTACCTGCTTGCCATAGAAATTGGTGTCTCCCCTAAAGGAACCACGAGAGCCAGTAAAGGAAAACATTGGCAAAGGCACTGGAATTGGAACATTCACACCAATCTAAACAAATGTCAAGATAACAGTATTATTCTACACAGGCAAATGTTGAAATAACTGGTCAGTTCAAGGGCACTAAGAGGAGCTGGGCCAAGATTTACTTGGCCTGGATTTAAATGTGCGCTCAGCTGTGAACTTACTGCACAATCACTGTTATTTTGCAGCCGAAAACAAAACCAAGAATGACACTAATCATATCATTGCATATAGCTTCCACAATTTAAAATTGGCACACCTGGAATCAAGAATCTAATTATTACTGGATTCTCAGACAGAAATACAGCCCTTTCTTTTTTTGGCTGAAATCCTGGCGAAAATACTCTGAAGCTATTTATATTTGGAATAAAGGATTAGACAGAGTAATCCTATGGACCAGAGGTATAACATCACCTTTTCCTATGTTTTGTCAGAATTGTGCTTGCAGAGAAAAAGTTATGCAGGTTGGTGGTTTTTTTTTAAATTCCTTATTCATGAAGCTTTAAAAAAAAAATTCTCTTGCAGTGGGAAACACAGTGAATGCCCACTCCAGAGGTGGCAAAGTCTTTCTTCCATCTTTCTAACAAACAGTGCAGAATACCACACTATATTTCTGTAGCATCAATAGTTCTAGCTCTCTCTCTTTTCATAGCCTTGTCAAATAGGGCGATAAAGGTTTATCTTGCTCTTGGTGGTGGTGGTGGTGGGGGGGGGGAGGTGGGGAGAAGGTACCTCTTTCTACCATCCAGGACAATCGAACTGCATTCAGTTTTTTTCAGTTGCAAACATGTTGCAAACCTGGTACATTCACTCCTACCTCCGTTACTATTTGCAATTTTAATAACACACACACACACACACACTTTTAATTCAGTTTGCCTCTCAGTTTCTAAGTAGTAAAATGGCGTGGTTTGAGAGGCAATTGGGTGTCCAGGAAGGATGTCTATGTGGGGAAACAGACTCATTTTGCAGTATAAATCTCTCACCATGTGATATCATTCAGTCCAACCTATTTCACAGAGTATTGCTGAGGCTGAAAGATATAAAGCTGCTCTGTGAATATATTACTTGTTTATCTAGTTCAGGGTTGGCAGCAGCTGTTTAAAACTGTCCCAGCTTTCTTACTGAACAGGTCAGGGACTGAATTTTAAATTACATGCACTGAAAGATGGGTGAGCAAAATGCAACCCTGAAGTCTGTTTCTGTCCTTTGATCCCTCTAAACCCACTACACTGACTTCTTTCTCGACCAAAATAGCCTATCTTGGAAGATTCTGAGATGAAGAAGTCACCTGTTTAAGCCAATAACACAAGAGCACCCTGCAAGTAAATGTCAAAAGGTCCTGTTTTTTCTTTTTCTTTTTTGGGGGGTGGTGGAGGAGGCTCTTGACATCTGTGTGGTCTCTGAAGAAAAGTGGTCTCAGATTTGCAATCCTCCCCTAATTTAGAGCATATGCTCTGTTGTTGAACCATGACTTTCTATAGTTAAGACTGCATGCCAAACTATATAGCATAACCACTGCAATTTACATACCTGTCCAACATCCACTAAATGTGAGTATTTCCGAGCAGTGGCACCATTTGTGGTGAAGATTGCTGTTCCATTCCCATAGGGATTCTCATTTATTATTTCTATTGCATCATCCAAAGTGTCGGCTTCCAGAACCACTAGAACTGGTCCAAAGATTTCCTCCTTATAGCAGGTCATATTAGGCTGCAAAAACAGAAATACCTTAACTGTAGTTCACATCAAAGAAATTTCATTTTGATACTATTATTACAGGACTACTCCTTCACAAGTCATTGCTCTTCAGTAGCCATCTATGTCTCTTATAATGGCTGTAAGTGCCAGCTATAATCACTCTATCCAATAACCCCAGTTGGATTGCTATTGTTTGCACTGATATATAAGAGGCATTTGAAACTCCACTAATCAACCTCATATACCCAAGGTATACTGATTTGCTGAAATTCAATAGAACCCTCCATTACATACCTACATTCAAGATTCCCCAGCCCTCCCCACATATTGAGTAAACATAATTCTTGTATTTTCAAGTCTACATGGATAAATTTGTTTCAGTCAGTCCACTTCATCTATTCCATGGAAGCCAAGTGGGAAAAAGTGACACCTGTAGAGGAGGGAGGGGAATGATTCCTATCATATCTCACCTTGACTTTAGCAAGGACAGTCGGTCCAACAAAATTGCCATTTTCAAAACCTTTCACTCTGATATTTCGTCCATCAAGGAGAACACTAGCGCCTTCCTTTGCTCCAGTGTCTATCAGCTGACAGACACGTTCCTTGGCCTGTGGGCTGATCAGGGGGCCCAGATCTGCCCCAGGTTGGTCTCCTATGACAGTACAGAGAAAGTGCTAAAATCCTAGTAAAATACAACCGTACTTTGTCTATCGATTTTTTATTGGGCATTCATGGTGCTATTTAATTTCAGTCTGGATGCACCCCCTAAACTCTTGGACTTACTCCTGGAACATTACTATTCAAACACTGAAGCTATCTAAGACTCAGAAACCATCATCATGTTCATTCTAGATGTGGTTCAAACAATTCATTTGTGCACAATACTCAAATCCTTCTCTATATACACAACAATTTAACTAAAAAGCTCTTATTGGGGGGAAAATGTACTAATTCTGTGCACAATGTATGTATTTTCTGAAAGTTAAAACAGCAAGTATTATGGAGGGCTCCTGATAACACTAAATAAGCAACAAATGCATCTCTAGGAGAAAAATATGGACTTGTTGACTGGCATGGTTTTACAAACACAAGTTGGTTTTGTCATCTTCATTACTTAAAATTAATCCTTCAATCTAATCAAACAAGACCTGGCATTTCAGAGCTGAAAGAAACCAAGCACTGGGTTCTGCCAGATGACCCAATGACTCTTTCTGGTTCCATCCCTGCCTCCTCTGCAAAATATCACACTAAACAGGTAATCTGGATAGGGCTGAATAGACTGCAAGGCACCCCAAGTGATTTGTACATAGCCAATACAAGTATGAACCATTAGCCTGAAAATTATTTTCAGTTGGATACGTGATTGTTTATGTAGATGAATTACAGCTGAGAGAAGTTTATCCCTCATTTCTGTATACTTTGGGGTTTCATGCCACAATGAAACAGCCTTTTGAGGTTGTAACTGTTCTCCTTGATGCACCAATTGTTTTCCTTGTCTAGATATGCAGAGGCTTTAATATCTTGTAAAACAGGTCAGAAAAACTACAGCAACACCCCCCCCCCCTTTTTTTTTATAGTATTGTAGGATGCATGGAAATCAATTCAAACTATGGTGGGTGAAACACCTTATCTCTTGGGACATTGTGTCAGAAGAAATAGTTTAGTGTCTCAGGTGGGGCTCTCTCTAGAAAAGACTGACCCAGCCCCATCAAGCCCAGCCTAGAAGCAGATGGAAGGTTTTCCCTCCATTCAACCGCCACTGCTCTGGCCTTGAAGGAAGACAAGAGGCAACATTTGCTGGACTTAATCCCCTCCTATACTGCCATTCCTTTTTCATTGTGTGGCCAGTTTAGATTGTAATCCTGAGGGCAAGGAACTGTCAAACCAATAATTTACAAACTGTTTCTGAGAGACTGTGACTGAAGAATGGGATACAAATACGTTAAAGAAAGCAACAATAACTTTCACGTAACCATTTCAGACCCACAACAGACTGTATCACAACATCTGTAAATTTCTTTTTTCCCCTTTCCCTTCTTCTAATCTGCAATCATCACAGAAGGAGAGAAGCTAGAGCCATCCTTCTGTTAAAAGGGGGCTGCTGAGAGGAATTTGTTACCGCCATCAACTAACAAAAAGAACGTACGGACATTTTATAAAAATGATTCTTTCCTATCAAAAATGCTTGAAAAAAGGGTAGATGAATTTTCAGCATAGCCCCATTAACAAATCTGTGCCTGGTAATATATATTGCTTTTCTCCATTTGTGTTGTATTTATATATAAATCTAATATTACAGATGCTTTGATACAATGAATTACTGAGACAAATACACAGACAAAGGCAAAGGCTTCCTCTTTCATCTATGGCAGTGGTTCGCAACCTGTGGGTCCCCTGTTGGCCTACAACTCCCAGAAATCCCAGCCAGTTTACCAGCTGTTAGGATTCCTGGGAGGTGAAGGCCAAAACATCTGGGGATCCACAAGTTGAGAACCACTGATCTATGGCTTCTGGAGGTGGTGTTCAACTCCAGTTCCGTGGGAGGTGTCCATCTCAATTTCCAAGCCGAGGAGCCTCGTTGTCCATGTGTGGTCGGCATGGCTACCTGGAGGTTGGCATGGCTACATGGAGTGCCTTTTACTTTCCCGCTGAGGCAGTAACTATTGATCTACTCACATTTGCATGTTTTCAAACTGCTAGGTTGGCAGGAGCTAGAGCTAACAGTGGGAGCTCACCCTGATCCTCGGCTTCAAACTACCAACCCTCAGGTCAGCAAGTTCAGCAGCTCAACAGTTTAACCTGTTGTGCTACTGCGGCCTCTACTAATTCCTACTACTTAGACAAAAATACCAGTAAAGGCAGACCATTCAGGTCCTAACTAAATACAAAATGCCACTTAGAGCACACTACTTTCTCCTATTTGATATCCTACATCTGCCTCTTCCCTTCCCATGCATCTTGCTTCTTCAGTCCATAAACCTGATGACAGCGCCTGTCTTTCTTCATTATTGACACAGAGCCACACTGTGAAATAATGACTGGAAATCAGGATAGAAATACAGTAATAAATCAGGGCTAATAACTCATGATCAGAATGGATTTTACCAAAATGTACCTGCATTGACTCGAAGCTTTTTAGCTCTCTCCACCAGCTCTGGCAGCCATTGCTTAGCCTCTCCTACTAGGATTGCTGTAGATAAAGCCATGCATCGTTGCCCGGCTGCTCCAAAAGCTGCTCCAACCAGCTGATTTAGAGTATTCTCCTTGTTGGCATCTGGCATCACTACTCCATGGTTCTTAGCTCCCTAAAATAAAACGAACCAACAAAGAAACTAGTTCCTGGCTTATCTCAAGGAACGTATAGATAAGACAGCAGTGGGAAAAACATACATCCCAATATACTTTTATCTAGCAAATGGAATATATTTACATTTCCAGCTATCTATTGCTATTACCAAAGCATACCCAAAGGTAGTCAGAAATTTTTAAAAAATACATTGTAATACTTCTATTACAATTTTGTTATATCAAAACGTAGGTAGCCAAAATCATCAGAAAGAACCATTCTGAACACAAAATTATCTATATTTGAAAAGTTTTGCAAGACAAGTCATAAACAGTTCTGTAAACAGAGATGTCACTAAATTACCATATTGGCTTGGACTCTCTTCCCATGCTTAGAGCCTCTTTCATAGATATATTCTCCAGCCTGATTAGATCCCACAAAACTGATAGCTTTAATATCGGGATGCTCACAAATAAAATTCACAGCTGAAATAAAAAGACACTGTTAAGTACGTTACTAATCCTCATATTCTAGCAACAACAAAATCTTAATTCCTCTCATTTGACAGGGATCCCTCATTTGACAGGGTTCCCACTAAATGTAGGTACTATTACCCTTTTGGGTCATATTTCCCTTTTTCTCAGACTAAATGCATGGTCAAAGTTATTTGATATACATTAAGAAAACTGAGTGGGTTTGCCTTGCATGTGGAATTAAATATTTAAAATAAATCACCCAGCTACACTTTCAAACAGGGGGGTTAAAATACTAAAATAATATTTCCCCATAGCCTCTAATTACATGCTTATTTTACAGCAACTATAATCTGCAACTGTGAAATACTAACATGGGAAATAAGTAAAAGAATATTTATTTTAAAATGGCTAAAAAAGAACATAAGGGCATAACATAATCTAAATGTCACCTATCTCTCTGTATCCCACCTATACACGGCAGCTTGGGAAACTCTTAATACCTGCAGTTACCTTCATGTTGCCCATGAATGATGTTCAGTGTTCCATCAGGGGCACCCGCATCCTGCAGCAATTTGGCAAGAAACATGAGAGCTCCAGGGACGCGTTCTGAAGGCTTCATCAAGAAAGTGTTTCCACACACCATGGCCATGGGAAACATCCAAAGAGGAATCATGGCTGGGAAATTGAAGGGCGCAATGCCTGCACATACTCCCAAGGGTAAGCGATATGTGTAGGTGTCCATGTCTTTAGTGATGGAGGGAAGGGTCTCGCCCAACATAAGGGATGTCACGCTGCAGGCATGTTCAACAACCTCTGCAACACAGGAAGATGGCGCCAATAATTATTCTTCATACACATATCCCAAACTTCCTGTTCTCCAGTTGGACACAAATTGGTCACCAAGCGCTTTCACTATAACAACAGCAATCATTATCCATAAATAACTCCAATTCTGCCAGCAACTTCCTTTTGGAAAGAAATATTGTGCTAACAGTATTCCATTTTATGCAACATCACTGTTGTTACCTTGATGCAAAATATATTTGCTCACAGCTGTCCTTCCCCACAACTTTCCTTCTCTAGCCCAGGGCTTCTTTCTACTCATTACCCTCTTCTACCCAAGGCATTTTTACATAATCCTGAGTACATAAGTATATAAAATAGGAATAAAATCAAAAAAATACTGATAATAAATCACAATTTGCAAGGCTTGCTAAACACATTGATATTTTATTTTTGTGGCGTACAGCTGAAGCATTTTCTGAAGAGTCCACTGCAAGTTGTTGCTAACAGATTTTTCATGGGTTGTTGTAGATTTTTCGGGCTGTATGGCCATGTTCCAGAAGCATTTTCTCCTGACGTTTCGCCTGCATCTGTGACAGGCACCCTCAGAGGTTGTGAGGTCTGATGGAAACTAGGGTTTTTTAAAAAAATTTATTCCTTTTATGAGCTGTCTTGGGTTCCACCTCTGGGATAATATAGAACTGAACCAACAACAATAACAGAAACATATGCTTACGGAGGCCTCGGAACACGTCTCCTTCTGCATCGGCTAAGGTCTTCCCTTGCTCCAAGGTTATAAGTTTTGAAATTTCTTTCTAGGAAAAAAGAGGGAAGAGAATCCTTACATATAAGGTTACCTCAACAGTGTGGTAAGGAAAAGAGTCAATAGAACAGGAAAATAAATCAATGATGTGTTTTTCAGACAGATTACTATATGGATAAATAGCAATTTAATCAATAACTGTCGAGTTCACATTAGGACAACTTTGGGCTAAATCAAAATGAGTATGTGATTATTTTTTGGAAGAAATGGGAATCTGCTCCTCCCCACAGGTGTTAATTCTTAAGATTATATATTCAGTGTTCATTTTTTAAGATGGGATATTCTATTTTCCCATTGCAAATAATACTCAGCTAAAGCCCAAAGGCCCTATGTTAACATGAAGAAGAATCTAGGCAGGAAGAAGATGGAACTGCGGATTAGCTGGACAAAGGTTCTTTTCCCTTTTCTTCCCACAAACAAAAATATTTCAGCTGAGACTAAAACAGTTTTATTTGCTAAATGAACAAATCCCTGTTCAGCAGATAATCTTCTGCACTTGGCTTTAGGTAGGCACTGATACCCATAACCAGCAAGATAATTATTTCATGTGCAAAGTGGCTTGTAAACTTGATTCTGTTCACAGTAAAAGGGTGATTATAATTCCCATATTACAGCAAATGATCAAAGAACAGGACACAATTCCTCACCAGATTATCTTTGATGAGCTGTTGATATCGTAGAAACACTTGCTGTCGGCTCAGAATTGATGTCTCAGACCAATTCTGGAATGACTTTTTGCAGGAAGCCACTGCTGCTTCCATCTCGCTCTGTGTGGCTTTTGGGACACGGCCAACCACCTCATTAGTGGCCTGTTATAATAGCAAATCAAATGTAATTAACATTATAAAGAGAGCAATCCTAACTGACTCAGACAGCTATTCATGATATAGAGTACGATGGAGCCCCCCACCCCACCTCTACTGATGAAGGAAGGAGTCTGCTTCACTAGAACCCTATAAATACATACAGAAAATGCCAGAGGTGTAAAACATGTGTCTGTCAGCAACTCCTAAAATGTGTTGTTCCATACTGAGTGTTAGCTGGAGAGACCAGCTATTGCTAATGACTGACTGGCTAGTTCTCAGGAGGCACAAAAATGAAACTACTTTATTTTGCTAGTATTAACATAGGCTTCAGCCTCAGACATTTCTCTTATACCAAATCATTCTACAAATTCTATATTAAAGAGGTTGTATTCTCTTTCAGTAGGAAGATTCAAGAGTACACTAAGTAAAATAACATTAGGGACCATACCCTGAATTAATCTGTATTACGGTATGCTTTGCAGTTAATATCAAAGTAGTTCTAAGACTTTGAAAATGATCCAGTCAAAACCTTTCTTCTCACTTTGTAAAGAACCTGATCATTCCGGTGGCAATAAGAATTACTACGAAAAAGATAAAATAATCTGTCTTCAAAAAAATTCAAGGTTCTTATACAAAGCACTTAAACAGTTCTTCCCTTTAAACGCAACCAAAGACAGCTTCTTAAATTCAGGTTGTTTAGAAATACAACTTAGAGAACCACTACAAAACTTCCTCTTTCTTCTTTACACTGATGTACTGTGCAATCCAACTCAGAGAGATGAGCACAAAGAAAAGAACATCACTTACTGGGTTGTGGATATCAAGCCAATCATTGGTTTTGGACTCAACAAACTTGCCATCGATGAACAGCTTGGTTGTTGGCTGTGGAATACAAAGTACTGGTCAATGCTATATCTTTATACCAACTAGGTCAGACTCATCTATCTACTGACAACTATATTTTTTATATATTTATTTATTTATTTATTTATTTACTGTCCTTGTATACCGCCGTTTCTCAGCCTAACTGGCGACTCAACGCGGTTTACAACAGAATATACAGTACACAGTATACAATTAAAACCGTAAAAAACATAATACACAATATTTCACATAAATCACAATCCAATACATTATTTTATTTATTTATTTATTTATTTCTTGCATTTATTGACCGCCCCTCTCAGCCCAAGGGCGACTCGGGGCGGTGAACAACAACATAACACACAGACGACAGCGTACAGTGAATCATGACAATACAAACCAAACAGATACCACATAACATATACTTATACTAAAAATCCGCTTCGTCAAGTCCTGGGGTCATAGCCAAATTCGTAGTCCTAGTTCATTCCATTGTCATTCAATACACTCAGTTGAAGGCCTGCTCGAAGAGCCATGTTTTTAGGCCCCTACGAAAGGCCATCAAGGAGGGCGCCTGTCTAACTTCAACAGGGAGGGTGTTCCACAGCCGGGGGGCCACCACCGAGAAGGCCCTCTCTCTCGTCCCCACCAGACGTGCCTGTGAGGCGGGCGGGATCGAGAGAAGGGCCTCCCCAGACGATCTCAAGGCCCTCGTGGGCTCGTAGGCCAAGATGCGGTTTGCAAGGTATTTTGGGCCGGAACCGTTTAGGGCTTTGTAGGATAACACCAGCACCTTGAATTGGGCCCGGTAGCGGATCGGCAGCCAGTGGAGTTGGGACAGCAGAGGCGTTGTATGCTCCCTGCGTCCAGCTCCCGTTAACAACATGGCTGCCGCGCGCTGGACTAGCTGGAGCTTCCGGGCCGTCTTCAAGGGCAGCCCCACGTAGAGAGCGTTGCAGTAATCGAGGCGGGATGTGACCAAAGCGTGTACCACCGTGGCCAAGTCAGACTTCCCAAGATACGGGCGCAACTGGCGCACGAGCCTAAGCTGTGCAAATGCTCCCCTGGTCACCGCTGAAACCTGAGGCTCCAGGCTCAGCGATGAGTCCAGGGTCACACCCAAGCTGCGAACCTGCGCCTTCAAGGGGAGTGCGACCCCGTCCAGCACAGGCTGTAACCCTATATCCCGTTCGGCCTTGCGACTGACCAGGAGTACCTCTGTCTTGTCTGGATTTAATTTCAGTTTGTTCGCCCTCATCCAGACCATTACAGCGGCCAGGCACCGGTTCAGGACTTCGACGGCCTCCTTAGTAGCAGGTGGAAAGGAGTGACAGAGTTGGACGTCATCTGCGTACAGGTGACACCGCACCCCGAAACTCCGGATGATCTCACCCAGCGGCTTCATGTAGATGTTAAACAGCAAGGGGGACAAGATGGAACCCTGAGGAACGCCACAGGTCAATGGCTGCGGCGTTGAACAGGAGTCCCCCAATAACACCTTCTGAGTACGACCCTCCAGAAATGACCGGAGCCACTGCAGAGCAGTGCCCCCAAGACCCATCTCTGCAAGGCGCCCCAGAAGAATACCGTGGTCGACGGTATCGAAGGCCGCTGAGAGGTCCAGGAGCACCAACAGGGACACACTCCCCCTGTCTAGCTCCCGGCGCAGATCATCCACTAAGGCGACCAAGACCGTCTCGGTACCATGTCCCGGTCTGAAACCAGACTGTGCCGGATCCAGAATATCCGTGTCTCTCAAGAATACCTGGAGTTGTGAGGCCACCACGCTTTCCATGACTTTGCCCAAAAAGGGAAGATTGGAAACAGGCCGAAAGTTGTCCAAATTAGTGGGGTCCAGTGATGGTTTCTTCAACAGCGGCTTTATAACAGCCTGTTTTAGGCTCGCTGGAATCTTGCCTTCCCGGAGGGAGGCATTAACCACCACCGTTACCCACTCGGCCAATCCCCCTCTGGCCTCCTTCAGAAGCCAGGATGGGCAGGGGTCTAGGATGGACGTGGGGGGCCTCATTCCTCCAAGTATCTTGTCCACATCCTCGGGTTTCACAAACTGAAAAGAATCCAACAAAATCTGACAAGCAGGTGCTTGTGTCACATCCACGGAGACTGCATCTAATGTGGCGTCCAGCTCAGAACGGATCAAAGCGACTTTGTCTGCAAAAAACCGAGCAAATGCTTCACAGCGCGCTGCCGAGTTGTCAGGGCTCCCACCCACGGGGGGAGTTAAAAGACCTCTGACAACCCGGAACAACTCCGCCGGACGGTTTTTTGCAGACGCAATAGTGGCCGCAAAGAAAGTTTTCTTTGCGGCTTTTATTGCCGCGGCATATGCCCTTAGAAAGGACACAAACCGTGTTCGATTTGGCTCGCTTGGGTCCGAGTGCCACACGCTCTCTAGAACCCTCTTCCTTCGCTTCATCGCTGCCAGCTCCTCAGTGAACCAAGGGGCTGGTTTAGCTCGGCTACTTGAGAGGGGACGCTCCGGAGCGATCTTGTCGATAGCCCTGGTCATCTCCCCATTCCAGAGAGCGACCAAGGCCTCGACATTATCACCTACCGCGGTGGCGGGAATATCCCCAAGAGCCGTCAGGAATCCGTTCGGATCCATAAGCCTCCTGGGGCGGACCATCTTAATGGGTCCTCCACCCTTGCGGAGGTTAGGGGGCGCAGTGAGCCTAAATCTGATCAGGAAGTGGTCGGTCCATGGCAACGGAGAGATGGACAACTCCTCCACACCGCCACCCTGCTCCCATCCCTGGCAGAAAACCAAGTCCAATGTGTGTCCAGCACAGTGGGTGGGGCCAGTTATTTGTTGGGACAGCCCCATGGTTGCCATGGCGGACATGAAGTCCTGAGCCGCACCTGTGAGGGTTGCCTCGGCGTGGATGTTGAAGTCCCCCAGCACAAGAAGCCGTTGGGACTCCACCACCAGGCTCGAGACCACCCCCGCTAGCTCAGGTAGGGAGACTGTAGTGCAGCGAGGTGGACGGTACACTAGCAGAATCCCTATTCTGTCCCGGTCTCCCACCCTCAGGTGGACGCATTCAAAGTTTGTGGTCTGCGGGATGGGGCTCCTGGTTAGATGGATGGTATCTCTATAGACCACTGCGACCCCGCCTCCCCGTCCTCCGGCTCTAGGTTGGTGTTGCACGGAGAAACCTGGAGGACAAAGCTGGGAGAGATTTACGCCCCCCGCTTCATCCAGCCAGGTCTCCGTGATGCACGCCAGATCTGCCCGCTCCTCCAGGATTAAATCCTGAATCCAAGTTGTTTTTCCGTTGACAGATCTGGCGTTCAACAACACCACCTTCAAGCCAGAGGGCCCGCTCACCTGGTTACACCAATTTACCTTAGGAGACCTATTGGGAATAGTTAATTTAGATAAGCGGTCCGAATTAGGCCGAATTCGAGGTCTCCTTCTCCCGCATCTCCTCCTTCCCACCACGACCTCTATGGGGGCCCCTCGGCTAGTGGAACACCTCCCCCCCTCCATGCCGCGGTCATGAGCCATAGGAGTACTCTCTCCTATGCTTGTTGTTAAATTTATTGATTCTTGCCAGCATCCCCTCTCCCCCTCCTCCCTCCCCCCCGCCACACTCTCAGTCCCATGCTCCGGACCACCTCCTCTTCCGCCCCCTCCACCACACCAGAGCAGCATAAACAGTATCCAAAGGGGGGCAGGGGACCACATGGGCAGCAGCAATTCGGATGGTAGTATTAATATAACCAGATCTTAAAGTGCAAAGATTACGATATACCCAGTATCGATATAACCAGTTCTTAAAGTGCAGAGCAGTCCGTCGATGGGCGAGAATGATCGTAAATTACTTAGCAGCAACACACATTCAAAGGCACATTAATAAGGTGCTAGGTCTAAAGTGCTCTATTAGCAATATAAAGTGCGGCACAGAGGGACAAGGAAGGGGTGAAAGTGCTGGTGCAATCTAGCAGCAGTGGTAGGCGCCTAGGTGCTTTAAATCGTTCTTATTACAATGATGACAGATGACAACAATGACTACCGGACAGTACTAGATGGTATGATATTATATGACTATCCGTATACGATAATGGTAGTTAACTAAATATTGTTATGACCCCAGTAAGACTTTAGACGGTTGATAAACCAGCGGATAGGCTTCCGGAGTTGATAACTCGGGGTGGGGCAGCACAGATGGTTAGTCACACTTTGCTCAGTAAATAACAGCAAAGAAGCCGGTTTAGAGATCTACACAGAAAAAGCCACAACGAGTGGCCGGCAATAGGTCCACGCAGCTGACTACACAAGAGGTCGATTGAAATCGGACTCGCCCAAGGTGGAATGGCTCATCGACCCACAAGCGGCCCAGCGACCTAGCGGGCCCCAGCAACGATGACTTTCCCACCAGTGGCGGTTGCGGAGGTCAGGAGCGTCTGGTCAGCCCACCCGACGGCCGGCGGCGGCCGGCGGTGACTCAGCGACGGCGGTCCAGCACTCGGCCTCTCCACTTTGCAGCCGGTGGTGGCGATGGTATGGCGGTCTACTACACTGATGGCTGAGGTCAGACAGCACTCGGCTTCTCCTTCCGGCCAAGCGGTTCTCGGTGGTCTATGCCGGCGGGCGGTCTCGCCCGAAGATGGGGAGACTCGATGTGAAGCTCGTCCAAAATGGGGGGTGGGGCGGGTTCGCCTGGTGACAAAACGGCTCGTCCAAGATGGAGGGTGGGGACGGGCTCGCCTGATGGCAAAACGGCTCGTCCAAGATGGAGGGTGGAGGCGGATTCGCCTGATGGCAGAACGGGCCAGCGGTTAAGCAGCCCAGCAACGGCCCAGCAGCCCAGCAAAAGCCGAAACGTTGACTCTCCACCGGTCGCGGTTGCGGGGGCTAGGGAACGCCCAACCCCCCCACCCGGCGGTCGGCGGCGGCGATGGTCCGGCAACGGCGTCTCGGCGGCTCGGCGGCTCCGCGGCAGCTCCGCGGCGGCGACCCGTCCCCCGTCACCCGGCTTCCCACTCCACTTCGGCAGCCGGCGGCGGCGGTTCGGCGGCCCAGCGGCACTACGGGGGAGGCCAGGCAGCACTCGGCCTCTCCTTCCGGCCAGGCCAGGCAGCACTCAGCCGCGGTGACTTGTCGGCGGCCTAGCGGCAGCCAGGCATCCCTCCTTCACGCCGCCCTTCCGCAGCCAGCCGCAACGGCCCGGCAGGTCCAGTGGCCCCCGCGACGATCTTCTTACCATCAACAGTGGCAGCGGGGGCCAAACGGCAACGGCGGTGGTCCGGCCAGCTGGGCCTCCGATCTCGGCGACGCTCTCGGAAGGCCGCAGTAAGATGGCGACAAGATGGCGGCGGGTGTTTCCTCCACCTTCTCTATCTCCCCGGTTTTTCTCTTTCTTCAGCCTCTTCTAACATCTCCTAACTAAAATCGTGGTCCAATTACATCATCCATATTACCAATCCGTAGTCGACACATTCATTGCACCGAATTAACCAAATGCCTGCTTGAACATCCAAGTTTTTAGTCTTTTTCGGAATACCATCAGCGAGGAGGCTGATCTTACCTCCATGGGAAGGGCGTTCCAGAGCCGAGGGGCCACCACAGAAAAGGCCCTGTCTCTCGTCCCCGCCAGCCGCACCTGTGAAGCAGGCGGGATAGAGAGCAAGGCCTCCCCAGAAGATCTTAGGGTCCTGGTGGGCTGATAGGCCGAGATACGTTCGGATAGGTAGGTTGGGCCAGAACCGTTTAGGGCTTTAAAGGCCAACGCCAGCACTTTGAATTGAGCCCGGTAGCAAATCGGCAGCCAGTGGAGCTGGTGCAGCAAAGGAGTTGTGCGCTCCCTGCGCTCCGCTCCAGTTAGTATCATGGCTGCCGACCGTTGGACTAATTGGAGCTTCCGAGCCGTCTTCAAAGGCAACCCCACGTAGAGAGCTATATAGTCTCTTCTCTTATTTGCCCTTTAATTATCCTCACATAGGGACCCCTGGTTTATGGATTTACAGTAGACTGAAAACTACTTTAGGTACTGTTCCATTATCTGGGTGGAGGCCACTAAGGGGCGCTAGAGAGAGAGAAGTGTAGTCCATTTTACAGGGGGGGATGACTAAAAATGTGCTTTTTGAGGGGGCTTGATTGTGCAACTAAAATGTCTTGAATTATACATGAGTATATAAAGTTCAGTTTTATGGGGATGGAGGGTGGGTTGAAAGGGAAAAACCATTTCCTCCTTTTTTCCTGTTATTCCCCCCTTCCCACCCTCATCCTTGCCATGGAAATAACCCTTCTTTATCATATGGGAAGAGGAATAACCAGCACAAAAGGGAGAAATTATTCTCTAGTTTTACTCACTGGATACAGTAGAAGTGGTTTGGTATGCATATTTTTTCCTCTTTCCAGAAATGCACCAGAGTGCTAGTCATTACCCTGCAAAAGCCCAACCTGACAGTGCATGGTGGCCTCCCCCCACCCCACCCCACCCATCGTACTTAAACAGCAGAAAAAAACTTACCACTGAGGAGGATGAAAAGAATGATGAAGAATGCCAGTTGGGAGTGACTTTCTTAGAGATCTGCAAGCAGAATATATAGCAGGGAGACAAAATTAACTCAGTACAGTAAAGAAGAGCCATATTGGTGGGCAGTGCACACTCCCTATCTGATCTGTTTTTATAGCCCCTGTGCCTAGAGGACCACAGTAAAAAACAAGCCCAACTTCCCCTTTAAAGCAAAGCTTATGCTTCCCCTACACCTTATATAAAAGTGGAATCACGGATCTAGAAGAAACACAATGCTAAATCAACAATTAAAATCACGCCAACCAAAACATAATCCAGGGCAGTTCCATTTTCAATCACATTTGTTTCATAGGCACTTATTGCACTGCTCCAATTACTTGTCAAAAGCTTGGTCCCAAAGCTACATCTTAAGTTTTTCCTGAAGGTCAGGAGAGAAGAGGCTGATCTGACCTCACTGGGGAGGGAGTGCTATAAGCCAAGAGGCCACCACTAAGAAGGCCCTGTCCCTTGTCCCCACCAACTGCATCTCTGAAGGAGGTGGGGTCGAGAACAGGGCCTCCCAGACGATCATAATCTCCGAGATTGTTCATAGAGGGCGATACGTTCGGACAGGTAAGCTGGGCTGGAACCATTCAGATCTTTATAGGCTAAAGCCTGCACTTTGAATTAGAACACTCCATAGAACAAGGCTTCTTTAAAAAATTTCTATTCACCATTTTACCTAATAAATGTTTGCATGACCCCAGGTATATAAAATAGAGGAGGAAAACCAAACATTTAGGAAAATAGTCATGTGCAAGGCTTGCTAAATAGGCTGATTTTCCTTTTTATGAAGTCCAGCTGAAGCATTTTCTACAGAGTCCACTGTAAACACTGAACGTTGTTGCTAACAGATTTGTGCAAATGGGTGATGTTCAAAAACCTTTTACTGTTGCCATTTTTTGTGACCCTAGCACTGAGCTAAGTCAGGACCCACCGTTTAAGAAGCAGTGGTCTAGAAGTTGCCCAACTCTGATGTAGAATGTCTACAAAGAGAGCCTGCCAACCTGTATCAACACCAGGCACGGGCAAACTTCAGCCATCTGGGTGTTTTGGACTTCAATTCCCACAATTCCTAACAGCCTACTGGTTGTTAGGAATTGTGAAAGTTGAAGTCCAAAACACCTGGAGGGGCAAAGTTTGCCCATCCTGATCTACATTCTCATAGTCCAAATTAAGCAAAAGACTTTGAAACAGTCAAAATCCAACTTACTAATGCCTTGAAAGATCTCTCCAGCTACTATAAAGATAATCATCTGAAGCTCAACCAAGACACAAGTGTGTGCTTTCCACCTACAGAACCGTGAGGCCAAAAGGAAATTGAAAGTTTTCCTGGGAAGGCCAAGAGTTCGAACACTGTTTCCATCCTAAATATCTCTGTGTCACCTTAGATTGAACATTAAAATTTAGGAAACACTGCATGAATGCCAAGCACAAAGTAGCTGCATAGACAATAATATCCAGCAGAAACTTACTGGAAGCACATGGAGAGTAGACCCAAATTAATAACAACACCAGCCCTGGCCGTGTCTTACTCAGCTGCTGAGTATGTCTGCCCTGTTTGGAATAAGTCTGTTCATGCGAAGCAACATGCAGAATAATCACAGGATGTCTCAAACCTACACCTCTTGATAGACTCTACAAACAAGCTGATGTGCGATGGGAAGTTGCTGCTAACTGTGGGAGAAATAAGGTTGAACACTGTGAAAGCCTTGTACTGCATGGCTATCAGCCTCCTCCCAGTAGACTCAAATTAAGGAAAAACTTAGTGAGAACCACCACTCCTCTAAATGTTCCCCAAGCAACAGCAAGAGCATCCTTTTGGGAAGCTAAACCAGGAAATCCCAAATGGATGCCCCCTCCCCCAACAATGGGTCTTCCTCCAGGGGCAAACCAAAAATGGGCAACTTGGAAGTCTCTGAACAGACTCAGAAGTGGAGTGGGCAGATCAAAAGACAACCTGGCAAAATGGCACTGCCTAAAAGAATCCTCCACCTTGTGTGACTGTGGAGCAGAACAAACAACTCTGCACCTGTATTCTTGCCCACAATACCCTGCCTCACATACAGAGGAAGAATTGTTTAAAGCTGCAATGCGATCGCAGTTGCCTGGTTTTGGTGAAAAATTATTTAGCTGCTTGTGCTCCTTCTATTTTTATCAGTTTTATACTTATGTATGCAATGCTTCTGACACAAAATAAATAAATAGTCCAAAACAGCATGTTCCCTTCCAAACATTGTTGCAGCAACCATCATGAATCACAGCTGATAGGTACAACCCAATGCAAGCGCTCCCTCAGACCTATTCTAAACAAAACAGCATTCTTTTGGTTTTCTAATGCAAAGTCAATGCCGTTGGCAGTGGATCTTTTCAGTAAATTTCTGCAAAGAATGCCTGGATTTGAGGTGCATCTTCTACACTGTAGAAACAATACTATTTCACCCCACTTTAACTGCCACGACTCTAATGTTATGGATTTGCAATTGTATCACACCTTTCACCTTTTGTGTCAAAGGGTGCTGGTGCCTCATAAACTACAACTCCTAGCAATGAGCCATGGTAGTCAAAGTGGCATTAACTCTATCTTCAAGCAAATGTGGCATTAATACTATCTTTAAGCAAATTCTGCATGCTCAGCGACACAGATTTGGCCTGGCTTTCCAAGAATGCACTGGAGTCATGCAGGAAGACAGTCCCAGAGCTACTGAGAAACCAGTGTGGATAGTGTTTTGAGTGCTGGATTCGCATTCTTGGAGACCAGGGCTACAGGTTCCCAACCTCATTTTAAAGAGGCACAGGCACACTTGGCGGGGATGAGAGACAGTGCCTTTTCAGTGATTGCCCCATTATGGAACTCCCTTCCTGGCAATATCAGATCAGCCCCCTTCCTCCTGTCCTTCAGAAGGATGGTGAAGACCTGGCTGTGGGACCAAGCCTTTGGGGCAGTGCAATGAGACAGCAGAAGGTGTCACCCCAAAGGAGATTCATCAGACAATGCAAGCTGTTTATGGTGGTTGTGCTGATGTGAATACTGTGCGTCATTGGGCGAGTAAATTTAAAGGTGTTGAGGTGACACCTTCTGCTGTCAAGAATTCAATGACTGCACATTGCTTAAGTCACATTGACTGATCGTCTGAGCAGGGTTCCATATTTCACACTTTAACAACACAACCGTTCAATGCGAAGGCTTCCCAAAGAAGGAGCCAAAGGAGGAGGCTCCTTCTTTGGAAGCTTTTAAACAGAGGCTGGATGGCCATCTGTCAGGGGTGATTTGAATGCAACATTCCTGCTTCTTGGCAGGGGGTTGGACTGGAGGTCTCTTCCAACTATTTGATTCTATGATTCTATAAAATGGAACTGAAGAGGAGAGTCTACTGAACAAGCCAGTACCTGCTGCATACTAGTTCTGCCATCTGTTGAGGAGTTATGAAGGTGGAGGCATTACTTTTCATCCAACCTTCGTAGTTGAGGATTAGAATCAGAAAGTTAAGAGACTGCAAGGGTTATGCAGTCCAACTCCCTGCTATGCAGGAAAATATAATCAAAGTACTCCCGACAGATGGTCACCCAGCCTCTGCTGAAAGCAGTGGTTCTCAACCTGTGGGTCCCCAGGTGTTTTGGCCTACAATTCCCAGAAATCTCAGCCAGTTTCCCAGCTGTTAGGATTTCTGGGAGTTGAAGGCCAAAACATCTGGGAACCCACAGGCTGAGAACCACTGGCTTAAAGCCACCCAGAGAAGCATTGGCTCAGGTTTGTGCTTCGAACGGTGACAGAGGCCCAGCGCTGGAGCAACGCTGCTTCACCTCAGCTGTTGCCTGTCTTCCTTCCCAGAGGAAAATGGGGGAAAGCCCAAGCCCCAGCCCTGCCTCTCCCCTTCCTTCTCTTCCGCCTCCCGGCCCTCAGCTGCGACCTCACCCCGAGCCAGAGGCGGCGATGCATGTGGCCTCCTTGGGCGCCCCGCACAGCTGCTGCTGCCACCGCCGCCATTCTGCGCGCGACCCCCTGCTCAAACACAGCCCCGTCCACCTCAACCAGCAGGCCCCGCCCTTGCCTCGCAGCGGGCCAATGGCACCCTCATCCCAAGCACCCTTTCCGCCCTTTGAAGTTTTGGCAGCCAATGAGATGCCGACTTCGCGCGGTTTTCTTCCTCGGCGGGTTGTCATTGGCTCTTTGGCGTGAACGCCCCCTCTAGACGGAATCTGATTGGACGTTTGCTTCTCCCCCCCCTCAGAAGGGGTTCTTCGAAGAGGTGTTGGGAGTCCCGCGTCGAAAGGGGACCCGGGGGTCACGTGACGGGCCAAGATGGCGGTCTCTGGTGAAGGTGAGGAGCGCAGGGGCGGGGTCTTGTGTCTCTTCGGCTGGAGGGTTGAGGCTCAGGTCTGTCAGAGCGAAGGTTTGGGTTACTAAGAGAGTATATGTGCCTTGGAACTCACAATTAGAGCTCACATACCCTTTGAAGAGCATCCCTTCACTTCTCAGACCTAGAATCCCAGTTAAAGTTAACGGTAGGCAGGGTTACTGTGAGTCTTCCGAGTTGTTCAATGTATTGTCGAAGGCTTTCATGGCTGGAATCACTAGGTTCTTGTGGGTTTTTTCGGGCTATAGAGCCATGTTCTAGAGGCATTTCTCCTGACGTTTCGCCTGCATCTATGGCAAGCATCCTCAGAGGTAGTGTCCCATTGTCCTAATTCTAACAGACCTCACAACCTCTGAGGATGCTTGCCATAGATGCAGGCGAAACGTCAGGAGAAATGCCTCTAGAACATGGCTCTATAGCCCGAAAAAACCCACAAGAACCGTCTTCCGAGTTGTTTGGCCATGTCCCAGAAGCATTCTCTCCTGACGTTTCGCCCGCATCTATGGCAAGGATCCTCAGAAGTTGTGAGGTCTGTTGGGAACTAGGCAAGTGAGGTTTATGTATCTGTGGAAGGTCCAAGGTGAGAGAAAGAACTCATGTTTGTGTGAGGCAAGGGTGAATGTTGCAATTGGCCACCTTGATTAGCATTTGATGGCTTTGCAGCTTCAAAGCCTAACTGATTCCTGCCTGGGGTAATCATAGAATCATAGAGTTGGAGGAGACCTCGTGGGCCATCCAGTCCAACTCACTGCCAAGAAGCAGGAAAATTGGGTTGTAGGTTTTATCGGGCTATAAACTCTAAAATTAAAACAGCAAAACAGCAGAAGGAAAACAATCAGGGACATCTAATCAAACAACAAAAGATTGCTCTTAACAACAGATTGCTCCAGGCACTTCCAGACTATCAAATGGTAATCAAGGTGGTCAGTTGAAACATTCACACCTAGCTCCAGCAGACAAGAGACCTTTGTCCCATCCTGGTTTTTCCACAGATATATAAACCCATTTTCCTAGACCTCACTACCTCTGAGGATGCTTGCCATAGATGCAGGCGAAATGTCAGGAGAGAATGCGTCCAGACCATGGCCATATAGCCCGAAAAAACCTACAACAACCCAGTGATTCTGGCCATGAAAGCCTTTGACAATAGCAGGAAAATTGCTTTCAAAGCACCCCCAACAGATAGCCATCCAACCTCAGTTTAAAAACTTCCAAAGAAGGAGCTTCCATCACAGTCCAGGAGAGAGAGTTCCGCTGCTGAACAGCTCTCACAGTCAGGAAGTTCTTTCTAATGTTCAGATGGAATCTCCTTTCTTGTGGTTTGAAGCCATTGTTCCGCGTCCTAGATTCCAGGGCAGCAGAAAACAAACTTGCTCCCTCCTCCCTATGACTTCTTCTCACGTATTTATACATGGCTATCATGTCTCCTCTCAGCCTTCTCTTCTTCAGGCTAAATATGCTCAGCTCCTTAAGCCGCTCCTCATAGGGTTTGTTCTCCAGACCCTTGATCATTTTAGTTGCCCTCCTCTGGACACATTCTAGCTTGTCAATATCTATTTTCAATTGTGGTGCTCAGAATTGGATACAATATTACAGGCGTGGTCTAACCAAGGCAAAATAGAGGGGTAGCCTGCAGAATTCTGGGGATTATAGTTTAGGGAGGCGCCATTAACAGCCTTACTAAACTACAAACCCCAGAATTCCAAAGGAGGTAGAAAGCGGATTTAAAGTGGATTCATTCTCTAGTGTGATGAAGTAGTCGCTGAATGCCCAATGAGCCTGGGATGTGTGTTTTTAAATACTGTACCCTCAATAAATAAATGAATGCAAAGTGGCCTCCTGTTGCTATTGTGGGAATAAGTGCTGATTAATACTTTGTTCGTGGCTAAATGAACTACTCAGTATAAAAAATGTTCTGGGTGCAAGGTGAGGAAAACCCTTTGCTGGAAACCACTAAAAGTTGTTGATAAAATAGTGCTGAGCAGGTGCAGATTAAACCAAAAGGTCTGTCCTGAAATAAAGTTGCTTTAGATCTTTCTTTTCATAGAAGATAGGAATGGCAGAGGTTGGCTTCTGGAATAGCTTGCATTGATATAATTCGTATTTAATCAGAAGTAATTCAACTGAATTTAGATTTGCTTCCAAATCAAAATGCAGAAGAGTGTGTCTTTATTGGCAAGAGCATCATAAGGCAGGGTGTGTGGGGAGAGGGAACATGACTTTCCTTGTTTATATTTCAGTTCATGTCTGATCGGATTCTGTAGATTTCTGTATTTAGGGTCTTTATAGACCCTGAATGAATATTGCACTCCCACAGCTGTGCTACTGCTTTTTTTGGCTTAGAATACTTGTTTCTTTATGTGCGCTATATTTTATGTATTGAATATATATATATATATATATATATATATATATATATATATATAAATTCAATACATAAAATATAGCGCACATAAAGAAACAAGTATTCTAAGCCAAAAAAAGCAGTATATATATATATACACACACCCACACACACATACACACACTACTCAGTTATGATGTTTTTCTAGGTGCAGACTTGGAGGCTTCATTGCTGAGCTTTGAAAAGTTGGACCGGGCATCACCAGACCTATGGCCAGAACAATGTAAGTTGTACTTGAATGGGAAATGTGCTAAGCAGGCAGTTCTTTAGGTTAATTCTGTTTGCTCAAAGGAACCAGTGCAGTTATTGGTTTAGTGCTGGATTACCAGGGCTACAGGTTCCCAATCTCATTTTTAAGAGTACGCCAAGGTTCTTTGTGATATTTGTATTTTCATTTATGGTCTAAAATAGTTATCAAAATTCACCAAACAAAGATGCCTACACAAGTTAAGTTAGCTTATGAATTGCTTATTTGTGCTGTATATAATGGTTTCAGTGCCTTTTTATTTATTTTGTGTTAAAAGCATTGCATACATAAGCATAAAACTGATACAAATAGAAGGAGCAAAAGCAGCTAAATAATTTTTGGCCAAAACCAGGTAACAGCAATCACATTGTCTGTAGCTTTAAATATTTCTTCCTATGAGGCAGGGCATTGTGGGCAAGCATACAGGTGCAGAGTTGTTTCTGTGCTGAACTAGGGTTTTAGGAGGCCAATATTTGAATCCCACCTCAATTGTAGGTCCCCTGCCACGCTTTGCTGTGGCCCACATGGGGGTTCTGTGTGGGAGGTTTGGCCCAATTCTCTCGTTAGTGTACATGAGGCAGGGCATTGTGGGCAAGTATACAGGTGCAGAGTTGTTTCAGTGCTGAACTAGGGTTTTAGGAGGCCAATTTTGAATCCCACCTGAATTGTAGGTCCCCTGCCACGTGTTGCTGTGGCCCACATGGGGGTTCTGTGTGGGAGGTTTGGTCCAATTCTCTCGTTGGTGGGGTTCAGAATGCTCTGTGATTGTAGGTGAACTATAAATTCCAGCTACTACAACTCCCAAATGTCAAGATTTCATTTCCCTCAAACTCCACCAGTGTTCACATTTGGGCATATTGAGTATTCTAGAGTTTGGCCCAGATCCATCATTGTTTGAGTCCACAGTGATCTCTGGATGTAGGTGAACTACGTATAGCTCCAAAAGCAAATGACACTGCCCACCAAACCCTTCTAGTATTTTCTGTTGGTCATGGGAGAACTGTGTGCCAAGTTTGGTTCAATTCCATCTTGGTGGGGTTCAGAATGCTCTTTGATTGTAGGTGAACTATCTCAGCAACTACAACTCCCAAATGACAAAATCAATTTTTTTGAGTGAAGGACATGCATTGGCCTGATAGGTGTCTTGTGTCCAAATTTGGCATCAATCCATCCAGTGGTTTTTGAGTTATGTTAATCCCACAAACGAACATTACATTTTTATTTATATAGATAGATATTAAGCAGTGGGAGGCAAAATGGTCTGCAGCCTGTATAAAAAGTGAGCCATGGCTCCTCCTTCAATCTCAGTAAAAGTGGAAACAGAAAGCAATACAATAGTGAGAGGGAAGAGGATAATTAAAATTACATTCCTATCATATAACTGTGGAGAGAAATATGACATGCTATGGTTAGCTGGTGCAGCTTGATAGTCTATCCTCTGCTCTCCAGTAGCTTACTTTCCTATGTTAGAAAAGGTTATTGAAAAAAGAGCAGCTGTTTTGGATAGTTAAATTAGGGAAATTTTTGTTGAGCTTAGTATTTTTAGGCTAGGTCTTGAGCCATCTATACACTTACAGAAGGGGTTTTGTGCCTGACTTAATTTACTTATGACTGGAGGTACCCTATATACTTACATACAAGTTTAGAATTTTTGTCAATCCCCTCCCCCCAAATTGGACCAACCTATCCATGGTTCTATGTGAATACTGTACCCTAACTGTTACTTAAAAAGGAAGAATCTCCTTCTCTGAGTAGAGTGGCAAGAAGCAAGAGCTTAGTCTGTCCTGAAAGAGCATAAAAGAAGCACTGACTCCCCTCTACTTTTTCCACTATGATGGTACACCTGGCCTTTTTGAATGCCTGCGTGGGGAAATGGCATGGGGCAGTTTGCACCCAAATACCATTGCTGCTTTCCCCTCTCTTCAGAATGATCCCCGACTTATTCATGGGACATATCAAATATTTATATACAGTAGATATTAAACTGAAGGATAACTATGTATAAATAAAGGTGCCACTTTTTAAAAATTGAGGATGGTCTTTCCAATATATCAGGAATAGGGAAAGACCAAAGATTGATATGTTTTTCTGGCACTGGAAGTCATTTACTGGTCTGTGTGCCTATAATTTTAATTGCATCTTCAGAATATGGATAAAGTATTAACTATGACAGCTCTTTGGGTGAAGAGAAGGAACTTCTGAATCAAATGCATTTACAGCAGCAGTTTTATCGAGGGCATTGATTCTTAGGCTCCAACTTGAGAAATGCTTAGGCACAGTGTAGTCCAGTTATAGTTACATAATATTTAGCACAGGCATGAGCAAACTTTGGCCCTCCGGTGTTTTGGACTTCAACTCCCAGAAATCTCAACCAGCATACATGCTGTTAGGAACTGTGGGAGTTGAAGTCCAAAACACCTGGGGGCGGGGGCGAAGTTTCCCCATACCTGATTTAGCCATATTGGACATTGAGGGAATGCACTGTAAGTGTTTCAGGTTAAAACTGCATGAAGGTGCATTTTGATGATGAGCCAGAGAAAAAAAGTGGCTGCTCAGCACTATGTGCCTATGTAGAAGCAACATGATTAATACTGAACATAGTAGCAGAATTATGAGTAAAGTAAAATGGGATGTGAATGGATGCTGGATCCTTCCAGCAGTTTAAGTAGTTATATTGTTAAAATGTCTTTGAAACTGTATGATGTCAGAAATTATACTGCAGTAACTGTCTGCATTGCTTCCAGTACCAGGTGTTGCTGAATTTGCAGCTTCTTTTAAAAGTGTAAGTAGCTTCTAACATGGATTTATAGTAGTATTGTGTATCCATTCTATTCAGAAGCAACGCTGTTCAAGTTAGTAAAAGGAGGCTTCCTTCCAGAGAAATGTCTATCAGATTATAGTCTTAGCCTCCATCTACACTGACTATTCGAAGTTAACTTTAAAATGTGGCATCCAGACAGAAAACTCACAGAAAGGCGATTGAAATAAAGCTCTTGATATACGTCAGTGCTTTGTGGTTTGTGTAATCACCATCCAAGCCTCAATCCTGGCTCCAGGATTTCTCATATAATCATCCACTTTTTTCCATACTGATTTGAAACTGCATTAAATGGTCAGTGTAGACGTGCCCTTAGTCTGCTTAATTAATTCTGCTTTGTGTGCTTTTCTTGCTTTGAGATGCTGGTAAACAAGACACTGGTAAAACTACTATATGCCATTTTATGTGTGTGTGTGTGTGTGTGTGTGTATAACCATTGCTTCTGGATCCTCACTGTAAATTTGATCTAGACAGGACATTCCAGTTATGGATTGGTTCTTTCCATTTATTGAATAGTCAAATATCCAACAGAATCATCTGGAAGAGAAGTAGTTTTTTGCCAATAGTATGAAGCTGTAAGAGTGAAGTAGGCAGTTGTAAGTGCATATTCAATATTGTGTGAGTATAAATATATTTTATTGCTGTAATGCTTTTGAGATATTAGATGCAACCTATTAGACTTAGGAGACTGAACTCAAAGCATATGTAAGCTAGTATGGTATTGCCATAATTCCATGTGTGATGCTACTCAATAGGTGGCAGATTTTGGGATATCTGTTACAAGCCGATAATTTTATTTGTTATATTTGACATACTGTTTTGTCATTACATTTAAATTTTATGCCTCACACATCAAAATACCATCAGTAACCTCAGACATTGCATGTTTTCGCTGGAATATTAGTATTGACCATATTGACGGAACCAGAAAATAACCCTATTCAAAAAAATTTCAAAGTGGCAGAATTCTTGAATTGTTCTTTTGAAATAACACCTTGAAGTTTTTTTAAAATTAAAATTAAATTTCTGATTTTTGCACAATTATATAGTAAAACCACAAGTTAACATGGAATGCTTCACAGTGTGTGGTATATTGAAACAAGAGTTAAAAGACCCTGGGGAAAATTAGTTTTCCTCAACATATGTTCTTCCTACATAGCAAAGTAATGCATCTTGGGGCCCTTCCAGACAGGCCCTTTATCCTAGGATCTGATCCCAGTTTGTGGCTGGAATCACTGGGTTGTTGTAGGTTTTTCGGGCTATATGGCCATCTTCTAGAAGCATTCTCTCCTGACGTTTCGCCTGCATCTATGGTAAGCATCATCAGAAGTTGTGAGTTCAAAAAACCTACAACAACCCATCTTGTATACAGCTGAGTAAAATGTTTGGCAGAAATGGAGTTTTGACATTCTGGGTTAGTTTTACTTAATTAAAATATTTCGTGGCCCTGTTTGACAAAGCAAACTGATTATGATGCTCCCCCTTTGTGTGTGTTCATTTCTTTTTAATAGCCTATCACCAGTTCTCCTCCCAAATGGATGGCTGAATTAGAAAATGATGATATTGACATGTTAAAAGGTAAGCTGGTTATAACATTTAAAACCCTACATGGTTTGAGTCCAGATTGCTTTCAGGATTGCTTTCTCTCATATAATCCGTCCCATACATTGAGGCCCTCTGGGGGACATTTACTCCAACCAGCCAGAACCCAACTGGTGATTGCCAGCCACAGGACCTTTTCATCAGCTGCTTAAATTGAATTAAAAGATGTTTGAATTGTATACTACTGAACAGCTGTTAGTAGTATTGAGAGCAGATTGTACTGAGCTCTAAGGAAAGCCCAAGCATATTATGTTACGTGGGAAAAAGGAACAGTTGTCCATCTTTGTGAAGTGTGGCAACATAGGAGTTGACATTGCTTTTTCAAATTCTATTTGTTTTTCTTTTCAGAATTTTAATAGATGTTCTGGTCAGGCTGAGAGCCATCATGGTGAAGTGGTTTGTGTTGGGTTAGGATTCTGGAGACCAGAGTTCAAATCCCTCCTTGACCATGGAATCACATGGGGGGCCTTCGGCAAGTCACATTCTGTCAGCATCAGAGAAAGGCAAAGGCAAGCCTACTCTGAACAAATATTGACAAGAAAACTAATTGGGAATGACTTGAAGGCATACAGCAACTGCTCGTGCCATTTTTATATCCAAAAGACAAATATGAGACCACATGTAATTGTAGTAATCATACCTGCTTTCATGCTAGAAGGGAATGTGTGTGTGAAACAGAAACGAGAATAGTCAATCTCTTACTTTTTCTAGCTCAGTGGTTCTCAACCTGGGGTCCCCAGATGTTTTTGGCCTACAACTCCCAGAAATCCTAGCCAGTTTACCAGCTGTTAGGATTTCTGGGAGTTGAAGGCCAAAAACATCTGGGGAACCCAGGTTGAGAACCACTGCTCTAGTTTATCTCTTTTCTAAGTTCTCTTGACTTAATATTCCCAATTTGTATTTGCATTAATATGTATTTGGATGGTGACTTTCCCGCTCTTATATCCAACATGATAGCATGGCAGAACTTCTTTCTTCTCGCTTCTCAGGTTTCCCAAAAACTAGGTCTGGAAGATTTCTCAGCTCCTAGTGAATACTTTTGAGGTGGAGTTTCAGTAGGAGCCTCCAGTAGTGCAAGGAGTTAAACCGCTGAGCTGCTGAACTTGCTAACTGAAAGGTCACTGGTTCAAATACCGGGAGCAGGGTGAGCTCCTGCTGTTAGTCCCAACTTCTGCCAACCTAGCAGTTCAAAAACATGAAATTTGAGTAGATCAATAGGTACTGCTCCAGTGGGAAGGTAATGGTGCTCCATTCAGTCATGTCAGCCACGTGACAGAGGAGGCATCTACGGAAAACGCCAACTCCTTGGCTTAGAAATGGAGATGTGCCCCCCCCCCCCAAAGAGTCGGGCATGACTAGACTTAATGGCATGGGGAAACCTTTACTTTACTTTCAGTGGGAAGGGGAGATCGTCTTACATCCACTAGAGTCTATCAGTCTGCCAGTGAAAGTCAAGTGATAAATCTTCCCCATGGAATTTAATTTATTATGCCTTTGAATGCAGTTATTTATTTATTTATTTATTTCCAATATTTCTATCCTGTTCCTTCTCAACCCCCGAAGGGGGACTCAAGACAGCTTACATTTGGCAGCAATTCGATGCCATTACATATAACTGAGCAATATAATAACAATTAAAACAATAGTAAAACATTCATTAAAACATTAACAACAGTATTAACAGCTGTATCACCATTCCAGTCAATTCCATATTCAAAGTGCTATCTATGTCTGTTGTCCAAAAGCCTGGTTCCAGAACCACGACTTCAATTTCTTCCTAAACGATAGGAGGGATGAAGCCAATTTTACTTCAGTGGGAAGCGAGTTATGTTTAAAAATATACATATAATTTGGCATCTATTTAATTGAACTTGAGTAATAGAATAAAACAGAAGGCTGTGATCATACATTAGTGATGGGGATATTGATATAACATGAAAGATAGTTGCTAAATATTGAATGCCAAGGACTCTTAACCCATCCTTTCTTCATTTTAGAGTTGGGCAGTCTCACGACAGCTAATCTAATGGAAAAAGTACGAGGTTTACAGAATCTGGCGTATCAGTTGGGGCTGGATGAATGTGAGTATTGTACAGGCACTAAAACAATGTTGTTTCTAAACACTACAGTACTTTGCTCTCAGAAAAGTTAGAATTATCCATGCAATAAAATTGATTTGAAAATTAGATTGTGAATTAGATTGTGAATTTCACCCATGGGAGCAAAGCGGGATTAATAGCAGCAGCAGCAACAACAAGAACAATAATGCTGGACATGAAGGAAAGCTAACAGGAAGAGAATTATTTCATATGAGACATGGTGCTGGAGAAGAGTTCTAGCACAGATTTCCAAAAAGTCAAATACTGTACACAGTTTGACAACAAATCAAACCTGAACTTCTCCTAGAAGCCAACATTGCTAAACTGAGGATAGTGTACATTGGACATATCACGAGACAATAATACTTAGTTATGTGGAAGGTGGTAGAGAAAAAGGAAGAGTCCATTACAGGTATTTAGATTCAATCAAGGAAGCCATGGCCCTGAGTTTGCAAGAGGTTAGCAGAGCTGTTAATAATAGGACTTCTTGGAGATCTCTCATTGATTAGGTCACCATAAGTCAAAGCTATCTTGATGGCAATTAACAAAAACAACAAACTGCAAGAAGGTTTTACATGCTTAATAAGGATTTGCTGGAATTTATGTTGCTAAGTCACTGTAAAGATGATGCATCCTTAGCGTTTATTCCTAGCTTGCAGTCTTTCATGTGCTCTGTCAATGGTGTCTCATGCCACTGTGAAATGAAGTGTGTTCTTGTCTTTTCCTATTATGCTTTTGATACCAAAGCAGTTAAGAAATGTTGACTTGCTGGTCCTTCTGACAGTTTGCAACACCCTATAAATAAGGACTCTATAAATAAATAGGGAAATTGCAATGGAATAATGTTTTTGTGTCCCTCAGCCCTCTCAGATTGTCTGTGTTCTGACAAAAAAGATGAAATGGCATGCTTGGACATTTGCGAATTAGCAGTTCACATCTTCAGTACTACTCAGGGTTCCATCATACTGTTTTATATTTTCTAATCACTTCTGTCCCTTCTAGTTTTGCTTTTTGGGAGTCAGTATTGAACCTAGAGACTCCTGAGGCAGAATTATGTCCTCCAAACCCACAATAGTAGCCCATGTCTATTGTAACATTTGGACTTGTTATCAGAGATCATAAAATAAATATTAAACTCTCCAAATCTAATGTATCTGATGCATCAAAGAGTCATTGCATTTCTGGGTATTTCTTAAGGTTTTGTGTGCACTAATGCTTTGAAGTTTCAGTTCCAATGTCTTAATTTCCCTTTGTCATGCTTCTGTGAAATATTTTATGGGATTTTGTGATCTTAGGAAGTACAGCAGGATTCTCAAATATGTGTACTTTAAATTTTCAGCTAAAGCTCATTGGCTGGTAAAGCCAGCAGTGATCCCAGTCACCCAGTTATTTTCTCCAAACACCATTCCGTGTTTTTGTGCATTGATTCTCAACCTTTGGCCATCCAAGTGTCTGGGTTTTCAATTCCTGAATCCTTTATCATTGGCCATACTTACTTGATTTCTAACCGTTGGAAGTCCAAAAAGCATGAGGGTTCAAATATTAAGAATTCCCAGATGAAGGAACATGGATTCTAGACATTAGGAACATTGGGGTTCCTTAGAAGCTTGTCAGAAGCTTATAAAAGTTTGATTGTTATGATGAACTAACTTTCAAAGAGTGGGTTGTTGTAGGTTTTTGGACTATATGGCCATGTTCTAGAAGCATTCTCTTCTGACGTTTTGCCTGCATCTGTGGCAAGCATCCTCAGAGGTTGTGAGGTTTCTCGGAAACTAGGAAAATTGGGTTTATATATCTGTGGAAGGTCCAGGGTGGGAGAAAGAACTCTTGTCTGTTGGAGCTAGGTGTGAATGTTTCAATGGGCCACCTTGATTAGCATTCGATGGCCTGACAGTTTTTAGGTGTGGCTTGTTACTGCCTGAGAAATCCTTTGTTGCAAATCTTAGTTTCTCAGAGAGCAGTTTCACTTGTTATTTCATACTCTTATGTACACTCATTATTGAATTATATTGATTTTTGTGTCTATGAAGTATATGTTTATTGTTTGATATTTCTTAAGGAAAAACTAAGGACTGCAGAAAAAAATACTAAAAACTTTATTTATATTCTGCCCAATCACCCCAAGGAGGCCTCAGGGTGGATTCCAACATACAACGGCAAACATTCAATGCCTCCATAAACAGATACATATCAACATAATAATCCCAGAGGAACCGCACATATCAAAACAACACAAGAGCCTAACATAAATAAATTAAACCCAACATAATCAAACAAAATTTATATAATGGCATAAAATCTGAACATAAAAACAACCACCTCGATTTATAGAAGCCAACTATTGTTCACCAATTTGTGTAGGATGGTTGTGTAGCCAGTGATGATATCTGGGCTAGCATAAACTAGATTAAGTGCCGTTACTAAATGGTACTCGCCCGGAAGTCCTGTAATGATCTCTCAGTGTCTCATCCTCCTCCTCTCCATATGCTAATGAGCAGGAGTAGGTCTTCAGTTGTTTTGTTTGTTTGAAGGAGAGGAGGGAGGGGGCAGCTTTATTTCTTTAGTGAGGGTGTTTCAGAGGTGGGAGGTGACCACAGAGAAGGTCCTTTCTCTTGTTCCCACCAGCTGTACTTGGGATGGGGATGGGACTGAGAGCAGGGCCTCCTCCTCTGACCGCAGTCCCTGAGCTGCTTTGTAAGAAGATAATTCAAACATAAGTAACATTTATACCAAGTCATTTTTAATTTATAGTGGTCATTCAGTATTTCTGTTAGTATAAGGCTTTGCTTTTCTGGTAGTGAGAAAACAAGTCTGAGGTGGGAAAGTTTATTTGTAACAAGCCCTGTTTGGTAGTGTGACCTTCCCACTCTTTCACTGATCATATAAATCACTGATCATATACATCACAAGTTCACACTACTGGCACAACTAGATTATATAGCTCTAGATTTTTCCCCCCATGAAAGTATCTGATTCTGCCATACACACTATTTCATCTTGTGAACTATCCAACAGCACATTCAATTCCTGCATCATATCAGTTGAGAGACACCCAAAACTGTTTTGCTGTAAGTCGGGGACCAATTGTACTACTGAAATTTGATGCCAAACTACTAAAAGCCTTTAAATAAAGCAAAAGATTTTTGCTTCAAATCACTGTTTTTGATTGGCCACCAGCCTTCAGTGGAGGAATCTGCTGTCAGATTTGGCAGTTGACTTGTGGCCTGCAACCCACAGATCCAGATTTTAGTATGTTCAACCCACCTGTGATGACTTGCAGTGGAGTACAGCAGCGTTTACTTATTTTTTTTAAAGTACAATTGGAATGGCTGCAGTAGTGTGCTGCAGCATACACTCTGATGTCTCTTGTCCATGTGGTAGAAAGTGCATCTCTCCCAGTTCTAGTGCGCTTTCCAGCAATATAGTGCAACTATAGTGGCACAAGGAAATGGAAACAAGAACCAAAAGTAGTTTAAGACACTTTTGTTATTTAAATATGAGCTTGCTTTTTCAAAGGACTAGCTTCTTTTGTGCAATATTATTTATTTATTTACTTTGCTTATATACCGCTGTATCTCAAGCCCGAAGGCGACTCACAGCGGTTCACAAAACAGTAGAAACAGCAGTGGTTCCATACAACATATAACAATTGACTTAACACATTATCCATAAATTACCAATAAGCAATTACAATGCACAATTATTACAAAAAACAACCGTACCCAATCTTCTCATCATCCAAGCGTAGTCCAGGTTCGTCGTCCATTGTTCCATTCCTATGTTCCATTACCAGATTGCACTAAATTACTCAAACGCCTGCACAAACATCCAGGTCTTCACCTTTTTGCGGAATACCATTAGAGATGGTGCTAGTCTAATGTCCGTAGGAAGGGCGTTCCACAGCCGAGGAGCCACCACCGAGAAGGCCCTATCTCTCGTCCCCGCCAGCTGAGCTTGAGAAGCAGGCGGGATCGAGAGCAGGGTCTCCCCGGAAGATCTCAAACTCCTGGTGGGTTCATAGGCAGAGATGCGGTCAGATAGGTAGCTTGGGCCGGAACCGTTTAGGGCTTTAAAGGCCAACGCCAGCACTTTGAATTCAGCCCGGTAGCAGATCGGTAGCCAGTGGAGTTGGCGCAACAGGGGGGTTGTGTGCTCCCTGCGCTCCGCTCCTGTTAAAATCATGGCTGCCGAGCGTTGGACTAGTTGGAGCTTCCGTCTTCAAAGGCAACCCCACGTAGAGAGCGTTGCAGTAGTCTATATGGGATGTAACCAGAGCGTGGACTACCGTGGCCAAGTCAGACTTCCCAAGGTACGGGCGCAGCTGGCGCACAGGCTTTAGCTGTGCAAATGCTCCCCTGGTCACCGCCGAAAACTGGGGTTCCAGGCTCAGCGATGAGTCCAGGGTCACACCCAAGCTGCGAACCTGCGTCTTCAGGGGGAGTGCGGCCCCATCCAGCACAGGCTGTAACCCTATGCCCTGTTCGGCCTTGCGACTGACCAGGAGTACCTCTGTCTTGTCTGGATTCAATTTCAATTTGTTCGCCCTCATCCAGACCGTCACAGCGGCCAAGCACCGGTTCAGGACCTGGACAGCCTCCTTAGTAGCAGGTGGAAAGGAGTGACAGAGTTGGACATCATCCGCGTACAGATGACACCGTACCCCGAAACTCCGGATGATCTCCCCCAGCGGCTTCATGTAGATGTTAAACAATATCATTCGGATGAGTCCATAAACTTACAACAAGGTCTACTTTCCTTTCGCCTTTAGGTGGCAGCAGAAGGCTATATAGAACTTGATGCTAGAAAGCACATTTGTAGCTTTTCAATCTTGAATAGAAGAGTCCATGGAGGCTTTTTTGAGTAGCATCATTATTAAGTTTTGTAGGTTCTTTAACTTTTTAAAAAACAGTATGAGGTTTATTGCCTTTATATAGTTTTTAATTAAGCTATAAAATTGGTGTATAAACATATTTTGTTTAATG